AATTGTTGAAAATAATTGAATTTAAATAATATTTTTAAAAATAATTGTATTCTTTCGAGAAATTTTATTATGTATTAAAAATAATTGAATTTCTCGCAGTAAAATTTTATTATTTACAAAAATAATTGAATTCTTGACAAGAATTTTATCAGAATTGTTGAAAATAATTGAATTTAAATAATATTTTTAAAAATAATTGTATTCTTTCGAGAAATTTTATTAAAATTGTATTGAAAATAATTGAATTTCTTTAAAGAATTTTATTATTTATGTTAATATTTTAATTCTTGCTAAGAATTTTCTTATTTATGAAAATAATTTGAATTCTTGCGGAGAATTTTACAGTTCATAAAAATAATTCAATTGCTTCGAAAAATTTTATCTGTATTTTTGAAAATAATTCAACTTTTTTGAAGGAATTTTATTAAAAATTTTGAAAACAACGATTTTTTTTTTTTTTTTTTTATCAAAATTGTCGAAAATAATAGAACTTACAGTAGAATTCTTGAAAATAATTGAATAAAATAATATTTTTAAAAATAATTGTATTCTTTCAAGAAATTTTATTAAAATTGTATTGAAAATAATTAAATTGTATTGAAAATAATTATTGAATTGCTCTAAAAAATATTATTTATGAGAATAATGAAATTATTGCGAAAAATTTTATTAAAAGTTTTACGCAGCAATTTCTACTAATTTATTAGTAAAATTTACAAATTCAAAGGCAAAAAGTCAGTCACTAATTCAAAATAGTATTAAATTAATTATTTAATTATAATTAATTAAATTAAATAAATTACTATTAGTAGATTTAAAGGTTTGTTTGGATAAAATAAATATAAAAATAATTAATTAACGAAAAAATAGTTAATTTATTGGAAAATAATAAATTAGTTAAATAAAGGTAAATTAACTTAATCATAACAAAATTTGAAAAATAAAAAATTATTTAACAAATAGTTAATTAATTAAAATATTTATTATTAATGTAACAAAATAAATTTAAAAAAAAATAGTTATAACTAATTATTAAAAAAAACCATAAATTATCTACAATAAAGTAAAAACTAATAAATGATCTCAATTCTCGATTTGCCGGGACTAATTTAATTATTGTCGGTTTAATGGAGAAAAAAAAATTGAGCATCACTGGGAAGCACAATGAACGAGTGGTCATAATTATAAGATGTATGAGTGGTGGTGTGCGTGAATCAGTTGGTACACGGGACCCATCTAACATTAGAGTAGGATCAGTGTTTCCAGTCAGAGGGATCGTGCGCGATCACATTTCTTCTTTCATATCTTCGTTTTTCATTTAACACCCAAATCAGTCAAATGTTATTCGAAAAATTTCATTTTGACATTTTTTTCTTTAAAAAAGAAAAATAATCAAAAAAATAAAAAAAACAATTAAAAAAAGTGATAATGGTGCTTTCATTGAGGATATATTTAATTATTGCTATAGGTAAGAACTAAGAATAATAATAAATTTATTTTTTTCATTTGTATCTATTTTTTTATTCCTTTTTTTATTTTTTATTATTTATTGTTTATTATAAATTATAGCTATTATTATTATTATTGTTATTATTATTTGTATCATCATTATTATTGTTTAAATTTATAAATATTTAAATATTTTTAAAATTATTGTTACATAAAAACTAATTGTTTTTTCAATAAAAATGGGTTTTTTTTAATTTGTAAAAAAATGTAATTTGTAGAATACATTGGGGTGAAAAAAGCCACTTTTTTACACCATAAAATCAGAATTCAATTTTTTTTCAAATTTCGAATGAAAGTAAAAAAATTTGTAGTTTATAAAAATGTTATGCTTTTTTAAATGTTACTCGAAAAACAAATTTAAAATTAAAGAGTAGAAATAAAAGAAAATCGTTTTTTTAAATAAATTTTGAATTAAAAAGCAGAAATAAAAAAAAATCGTGTTTTTTTAAACAAATTTAGAATTAAAAAGCAGAAATAAAAAAAGAATCATTTTTTTAACAAATTTAGAATATTAAAAAGCAAAAATGAAAAAATGTATCGTTTTTTTTAAACAAATTTACAATTAAAAAAAAAAGTATCGTTTTTTTAAAAAAAAGAAATTTTACCCCTTTTCTTAGTGGGAAATTGTAGTTAATGCGAGAAATGTGTGTTAAAACTTTAAAAGGTGCGAAAATGACTTTAAAATGATGCTTTCATTATAATTAGAAGTTAATAATCATGTGGAAAGTGCACTTGACAATTTCCTCTTTCACTCTCCCTCTCACAAATTTGAAACTAACATCCGGTAAAATTGGCTGGCAAAATGACAAACTATGATATATGGAATATGAATTGCTCTCAATTACTGAAATCAAATAACCAATACTTAAATACCCTTTAACCTTTACAGTGTAACAGGAATTCACTGTAATAATCAAAACGGAAGTGTTTGTCACTATACCGGATATTTACATGCAACATTATAATTACAAATAATTATGCAACCCTAAATAATATATGCCATTTTAATTATTAATACAAAGCATTCATAATTTTACGTTCAGAATCAATCCACCAGAAATTCCTTTGCTAAATTAAATCAACATTTCTGTTATTTTCAGAAATAACTTTTTTAATTCATTTTTAGTTTATAATTTTACTTCTTTTCTCTATTTCTTTTCTTTACCTCAGTACTTTATTTTTTTATTTCATTATTTTTATTTATTTTATTTTTTTATCTTTTTTTATTTTTTAAATTAAAAAAATTTTTTTTTATTTTTTTTATTTTACGTTATCTTCCTTTTAGTTTATCGTCATTTTTATAGAATATAAATTTTTGAAATCCATATTAGTTAATAAATGACTACTTATTTTTATGCAAATGAATAAAAAAATAAAATAATTGACTAACAAAATATTAAAATAGTAAAAATTAAACTAATATAGTAATAAATTCAGAAAATAATTGACTAATAATATAATAAAATAATAAACTGATTAACTAATAATATAGTGAACTAATAAATTCATCTTAGTACTAAACTATAATGATCTACTAAACTAAGAAACTAATAAAGTAATAAATTCAGAAAATAATCAACTAATGATATATAATAAATAAACTAATAAATAAATATAATAAGCAAAATAATTACTAAATTTGAAAAAAATATTTAAAAAATAATAGAAAATTCAGAAAATAATAAAAAATAATAAAATAAAAAAAAATACAAAACAAAAATTTTAAAAAAATAATAAATAAAAATATAATAAACTAAAAAATAGTAAACTAAATAAATTAAAATAAATAAATAAATAATAATCAGGCAAAATAATTATATAAAGAAATTATAAATAATTATACAAAAATAAATCATTCTTTCGGAAAATTTCTATTACTTCCGGCAGTAAATTAAATAAAATAAAAGCAAACAATAAAAATTAACTCAATTTTGAACTTGTTTAATTTTTCCATTTTTACTGTGTCAGAAAAGAAAAATCTTCCTTTGATCCATTATTTAATTTTAAATGACAAATTTTATAAAGAGTTTATTTTTAAAAATACATTTACAATATTACCGCACACAGTTGACAAAAGCCATTGTTTAATCAGTAATCAATTATTCAAGTGAAATTTGTAATAAATTCAATTCGCAATCAACCGCTTATTATTTTCAACAAGTAAATATATATGTATACATTTTTATCCCTCTCTCCCTCTCTCTCTCCCTCTCTCTCTCTCTCTCTCTCTCTCTCTCTCTCTCTCTCTCTCTCTCTCTCTCTCTCTCATCATTCATTTTCAACAACAACCCGGTAACCCAGTTTTTGATTAAAAAGCATAATCTAAATTAATTATTTCACTCGATTGTTTTCAATTTTATTTATTTCTTGTACGTTAAATAAAGTAGTATAATATACAAAAATAAAATGTTATTTTCCATTTTGTGAATTGAAAATTGTAAATTATTGACAAACAAAAAAAAGTGAATAATTTAATATTTATATTACTTTGACGGAAAAATTTTTGTTTACTTTTAAAATAGAAAGTATAAGTACATTTTCTTGTACATAAATAAATTGCTTCTCATGTGCACTTTTTATTGGGTCACCTCAAGTTACAACAACTCTCACATAAAGAGGGCACCGAACTTAGTAACTCTATTCTTATGAATATGTATTATATATATATAAATTTTTTTTTTAATTGTCAAGTAAATATGTTTTCTAACACTTTATATTGAATTTTTTAGGGTAAATTGAAAACTCACATTCATTACTTTCGGTTTTATTGAATTTTGTTTAATGTTTTTAAATTTTTAGATTTTAGACAAATTATATTATTATATAATTGTATATAATTATAATTATTATATAATATATACATGCAAATTATAAATAAAGTGAAAAAATATAAATAACAATTAAAAATATTCAGGCATTTTATTACAAAAGAAAATAATTAAAACTATAATTTCTAAGATTAAACTGAAAAAAAAAATTTTGATTCTAATAATTGATTACTTGACTATTTTCAATTAAATATTTACTTGAATCAAATAATTTTTAATTGATTCAATTAAATTATGAGTCAATTAAATTGTTTTTGTTTCAAATACTCAAATTTTTGTTTCAAATATTATTGATTCAAATACAATTTAGTTGACTCAAAAAAAAAATTATTTGATTCGAGTAAATATTTGTTTGAATTTTCCCAGAATTTTTCACGAAACAATTATGTCAGTTCATTAGTAAATTAATTAAAATAATTAAAATAATTTTAAATTTATTTTTCTATTATTATTATTATTATTATTAATATTACTATTATTATTATGACTGTTAATAATAAAAATAATAAGTAATAAAATTATTATTTTAGTAATAAAATTTTGTTTACGTTTATTAGAATGAAATTATTCTTCAATTATTTTTATGTTATCTAATTACAATGAAAATAGTAAAATAAAAATTTTTTTGTAATAATTTTTATAGAATTTTTTATTGGATTGCAGGTACACAGTACACTCAATTGAGTCGAGGTGGTAGAAGCCTTCCAACGACAGTGAAAACTTACGAAAATGACACTGTAGTGTTACCATCATGCAATGAATACGCTTTATTCAATGGTAATCCTTTTACTTATTTGAAAAATTCAATATTTATTATTTATAGAAAGAGTAATTCAATTTGAATAATCTATTTTCTAACAGATTGAAAAAAATAACAAATATACATTTTCAATGTAATATAGTTCAAAATTTTTTAATAAATTTCGTTAATATTTTATTATTAAAAAATAAATAAACTATTTTTCATTATTTATTATTTGGAAAAAAACCTTTTATTGTTATTTAATATTTTTTAAACACACTTAACTTTTTAAATACACTCTTAAATATACCTTTAAAGTTTAAATAAATACTTGTTTATAAAATATTATTTAATATTAATTAATAAAATAATAATTAATTCGTAAAATGATAATTAATTAATAAATTTATTAAAAATATTGATATTAATAATATAATTGCTTAAAAACAATATTCTTGCACATATAAATAGATTGAAGAAAAAACAGATAAATTTAATAATGAGTCTTTTCCGTTCCAATGAGAAAATAAGAATTACAATAACATTCATACACATTGAGTCTTAAAAGAAACTGTAACTAGTTCTGAAAGAAGTGATTAAGGAAGGTCACTAAAAGCTTTCATGAGAGATCACGAAAGCTTGTAATAGTTATATATACAAGAGACATCAATTACGCTCCAAAACAAAACAAAAAGAACATGAGTTAACTTCTAAAAGCACAAAAAAATAAGATTCAACTATTTTTTTTAATTAAAAAGGAAATTTTCCTTCAAAATTTCTTTGAAATATTTATTAATGTAAAATAATGTTAACCAAGTCCGTTTCTGGGCCAATGGGATAAAATAAAAATTATTATTATTATTATCTTTGGAACATTTTTCGAAAATTTCTTCAAAACCTAAATATTTTATTGAAATGAAAAAATTTCTTTCGGTCTTAATTAAAAATGGTCTTTAATAAATAATAAATAATAAATAATTAATAATTAATAATTAATAATTAATAATTAATAATTAATAATTAATAAATAAATTTAGATAATAATTTTATTTAATAAATTTCAAATTACTAAAATTATTAATTATTAAATTAGTTTTAACGAAATAAAGTTATTATTTAAGTCCATTAAAAATTAATGATCGCGTTAAATTATCAAAATTCTTTTTTCACAGCTAATTTAGTAAAATTTTTGAAAATTGAATAAAATATACGAAATCATGTGTATTATTTGAAATCGGTGATTTCGACGTAATTTTCATTATATTTTATTGTCATTTAAATGTAGAATGCAATTTGAAACGAAAGGTTACAATCTGTTCGTTTCAGTTATTTTCAATATGTGTGTACTTCCATACCTATTCATATATATGTATAGTAGTTTGGTTTGAAATTTGATTATGCATGATCGATTGATCTGCTCCTGTACTCATATACGGGATACATATATGTGTGATTGACTGCATGATTATGTCGTCAGTAAGGGACTATATTTCACACGCATAGAATATTTCTGATATATACACACTCACATACACTCTCATACGTTCAGAATATTTAATATTCCACTCTCTGCGGTTATTTCTCCACTTTTTTTTATTATTATTCTATGCATATATTTAAAGTACACTTGCTAAAATCCAGAATTACATTTTGTATGTTATTTCATGTATTTCATTTGATTTAAAAGAAATATTATTATTTTATTATTTTAGTTAATTAACTTCATAGCCTTCCGGCGAAAATTTTGCTCTTATGGCTTATATTACAAATATAATAATAATAATAATAATAATAATAATAATAATAATAATAATAATAATAATAATAATAATAATAATAATAATAATAATAATAATAATAATAATAATAATAATAATAATAATAATAATAATAATAATAATAATAATAATAATAATAATAATAATAATAATAATAATAATAATAATAATAATAATAATAATAATAATAATAATAATAATAAAAATAATAATAATAATAATAATAATAATAATAATAATAATAATAATAATAATAATAATAATAATAATAATAATAATAATAATAATAAAAATAATAATAATAATAATAATATTACAGTTTTTTTAAATTAGATTTCCACATTTTTAAATTATAATTACAAAAGAAGAAAAAAATATAATTATAATTGGGAGAAGTGTTGGCAAAAATTTTGTAATATTTTTAGACCGTAATAGCCGTCTATTTTTTAAAACGTATTGAAATTTATTAAACGCAGAAATTCAATTATGTTTCAAATTTAAAAAAATTCTCGTCAAAATTTCAATTATCTTTAGAAATAATAAAATTCTTCTTCGAAATTCAATTATTTTAAAAAATTTTAATAAAATTCTTGGCAAAATTTTTATTATTTTTATTTTTTAAACATTTTTCTCAATTCAATGATTTTTAATATATCTACTATTTAAATACAATTTTCCAAAAGAATTCAATTATTTAAAAAAATATTAATAAAATTCTACGCAAACATTTAATTATTTTTATAAAATAATAAAAATTTCCCAGGAATTCAATTATTTATAAATTTTTTAAAAAATTTCTTCGCAATCATTCAATTATTTTCATAAATTGAATTATTTACGTAAATAAAATTCTTTTTAGGAATTCAATTATTTTCATAAATAATAATAAAACTTATTGCTGAATTACAATTATTTTTAATATAATTTTAGTGGAATTCCTCGAAAAGTGGAATTATTTTTAATACTTTTATTAAAATTCGTCAAAAGAATTCAATTATTTAAAAATTTGTTGATAAAATTCTTTATGAGAATTCAATTATTCAATAAATTATTTTTTTTATTTAAATAATTGAATTTTAGTAGAATTGTCTAATAAAAGAAGTAGAATTTTTTAATAAAAATTGATATAAAAATGATTTTTATTTAAAATTTTAGATAATAATTTAATATATTAAAAGCAATATAGTGTGAATTTTTGGAAATAATTGAATTTTGAAATTAATTTTGTTGAAAAAGTTTAATTACTTTTTTTAATATTATATTTGAAGTTTTTATTTTCTAATATATATTTAATTGAAGAATTTACGAATAATTGAAATTTCGTAAAATTGAATAGTGGAAACAAATGGATTTGTAAATTGTCAGAGGACTTTTTCGTAAATTAATTGATTTAAAGAAGAATTTTAGTTTAGTTTAGAATTTTAGTTCTTAAGTTTAATGTTTAATTTTTAATTTATTAAATTATTGAAATTTGAAAATTTTAAATTGTTAATTTCTTATATTTAAAATTGTATTAATTAGAAATTTATTACAAATTTTTTTTTATTTTTAAATTATTAACTTATTGATAGTTGATACATTTATAATTTATAATTATAATTAGTTTTTTAAATACATGTAGCATTAAAGAAATAAATATATCATTTTATTTTTTTAAATAAAAGATAAAATAAATAATAAATAATAAATTATAAATAATATAATAAAATAAAATTAATAATTAAAAATTAACCTATGAGGTGTACATGGAGAGAATAAATAAATAAAAAACTAATAAATAAAAATAATAAATAAAAATAATAAATAAAATCATAAAATAAAAAAATAAATAAGAAAATAAATTACACGACCTTGTTAATTTATTTTATTTATTTTTATTTAGCTAGATTTATTATATTTATTATTATTATTTCTAATTATTCGATTATTTTGCAATAAAAGGTTTAAATACGATTATATTTCTATATTTTTTTATTATTTTATTACTATGGAACTTGAATAGAAATAATTACCACTTTGACATGCCCTTAAACTCGTATAGCAAATTCTATTGTTGTAAATACATTGACAGTTATTTTCAACTGTATTTGAAATTAATGGATATAGAAATTAAAGCATTTAAATATGTATGATAGACGGAATCGATAAATTCTAATTGTATACAGATTAATTTGAAGGTTTTTCGATATATTTAACGTTTATTTGCTTGAGCACGTGTATCAAACACTGGTCGCAATAACATTAATCAAAAATGTCAGTTATATGAGGAATTTTTTGTATACACACTCTATTTCGTTATAATAACAAAAGCACACAAAATACTAAATGACAATGTATAAATATTTATCTACAGGTGAGAGAGGAATAAATTATTATACGTTTCATTGTCTAGCTAATTTTTTTCCTATATATATTATTTTTATTTAAATTTTTCTGTTATTTTTTAATTTTTGAAGGTAATTTTTTATAATTTTCTCATGCATGGAGAAATTAAGTACATTAATTAATTAAACTATTAATTTACTTATATATTGAAATATTCATTTTTTTAAATATATTTATTAAATCCAAGATTAAATCAATTAGTTATATTGTGTTTACTTTTTTAAAACATTTATTTATTTAATTATTTGTTTATTTAGTTAAATATTTATTTAATCATTTGCTTACTTGTGTCTATTATATTTAATTTACAATGATTTTAAAGTAAGCCAAATCTTTAAAAAAATAAATTTCCAAGAGAGAAATAATTTTATTATTTTAGTCTAGCTAATTTTATTAATTTATTTATTAATATTCGCTTATTAAAATATTTATTTTTATTCTCTTATATATTTAATTTAATTAATCAATTTATATTCTAAATTGAATTTTATTCATTTGTTTATTTATTCATACTATTTTTATTCAAATTTAAGAAAATTGGAGAATCAAATAATATTTTTTTTATTTTGAAAATTTTTCTTTTGTCTGACTTAAAACATACTTTTCTACTTAAACGAAAATTTAATTTTAAAAACACGTCTGACTTTAATATTTTTCTTCTACTTTCCTCAAAACTCGTTTCGTTTAGAAATTTTATGTCTGACTTAAACTATTCAACACCTACTGATATTGAAAATACAGTAAGAAATACTTTTTTGTAAGAAAATACAAAAAGTAAAAATAAAAAGTCTTTTTAAATTGAATCGTGAATTTCAAAAAAAGGACTCAACTATAAAAAACCGTCACTCATTTTCACTGTCAATTGTTATGTGAAAATGAGACTTACGCCTTTTCACGTTGAGCTCTTTTCAAAATTTACGATTCAATTCTATTCGTTTCTTGACTTTAAAAAAAAAAATTTCATCTCAAATGGAAACTCATTTAGAAATAAATATTCTATCTGACTAAAACTTTCCTATATTTGTTTGTTTATATGTTCATTTATTTGTGTTTTTTTACTTCAGCATTTACTATTTTTATTTTTATTTTTATTTTTTATTTGCTTATTTTTTGTTTTTATTTACTGCTTTATTTATTTTTCTTTACTTATTTGTTTATTTATTTGTCTATTTATTTTATATAATTATTTATTTATTTATGAATTTGTTTACTTGTTTACCTCTATTTGTTTATATATTGTTTTAAAATCGAAAAAATTTCTTTATAAATATTTTTTTAATTATTTGTTTGTTTATTTATGAATTTGTTTACTTGTATACCGCTTTTTGTTTATTTCTTTATCTATTTTTTAAATTATTTGTTTGTTTATTTATTTATGAATTTGTTTACTTGTTTATCTCTGTTTGTTTATTTATTGTTTTAAAATCGAAAAAACTTCTTTATAAATATTTTTTTAATTATTTGTTTGTTTATTTATTTATGAATTTGTTTACTTGTATACCGCTTTTTGTTTATTTCTTTATCTATTTTTTAAATTATTTGTTTGTTTATTTATTTATGAATTTGTTTACTTGTTTATTTCTGTTTGTTTATTTGTTTCTGTATTTATTTGGATACTTTTTATTTTCGTTTAATTGTTTTTTTATTTGTTTATAATTATTTATTTGTTTATTTATTTGTTTATTTATTTGTTCATTTATTTGTTCATTTATTTGTTCATTTATTAAATTATTCTACATTTCTAATTAATATCGACAGTAAAAAGAAAATAAAAATTAATTCGCGTCAAATTAAAAAAGTTTACTTTTTCGGATTCAGAACATTTAGAACTACCGACAAGAGTAATGTGGTGGCGAGATGGATTATTGCTCGTTGATAGTGATGACACAAATGTTGTACCACCTGAGCGGGTAAGATTGTGGAACAATGGGAGCCTCGAGGTCTATCGAGTACAACAAAAAGATACCGGTGAATACAAATGCAATGCTTCTCGTCCTGCACCCTGGGGTGGTGTCATTCAAATTCATGCCATTGAAGTGATGTGTAAGTTACATAATAACAAAAAAATACTTTTCAATTCTCCCCTTTCTTCTTAAAAAAAAAAAAAAAAAAAAAAAAATTAATTTTTGCACAAATTTAAATTTAATTTTCAACTTTTTGCTTTAAATTAATTTTATATTCAATATTTTCACAAATTTAAATTTAATTTTCTATTTTTGCTTAAAATTAATGTTATATTCAATATTTTCACAAATTTAAATTTAATTTTCGCAATTTTTGCTTAAAATTAATTTTATATTCAAGATTTGCACAAATTTCAATTATTTTGATAAAAATTTATTTTTTATTCAATATTTGCAAAAATTTAATTTAATTTTTAAGGAAATTTGAACCATATTATGACGTCACAATTTTAGAGCAAATTCTTTGAACAAATTGTGACGTCATAATGTTTCAAATGCCCTTAATTTTTGCACAATATTAATTTTCTATTTAATATATTATTTGCATAAAAATTATTCTTGTTTTTCCCTCATATTGAATATTCAATAAATTTAAAAAAAAAAATTTAATTCACTCCATTTTTTCTTTGATACAAAGTCATTATACTGAAATTCTACAAATACGATATAAAAATAAATAAAAATAAATTGAAACATTTAATTGAAAATAATGTAATAATTAACATAAATATCGAAAAAATAATAAACAAATGAAAGAAAATTATTTATTAATATATTTATGAATTCAAGTGCAATCTATTGGAGATTTTTTGTACTGATCATTCTAGATGGTTTTCGTGTCGGTATTCCCATTGGGACAAAGGATTTACCCTGTTTCTGACAATAATTAATTAATCTGCGTGGAAAAAAGAATTTCTGCTTTTTTTCCTTTTTGTTTCAACTAATGAACTCTGGGAACTATCCGCGAGTAATTAGGACCTTTTTGTGGCAGATGTATTAATTTGGAAAAGAGAAAAAGAAAGTAATTTTGTTTGACAAAAAAAAAAATTGTATTTGACATTTTTTTTTATTACTATTTAATTATTTCTTATTATTCTAATTTTTCATTTATTGTATTTATTTTTATTTATTGTAATAATTTAATTTTTTATGGCTTTTGGTCTGTTAAAAATTAATTTAATAAATATTGATAATATTAATAATAAGGCTAATAAGAAAAATAATATTAATTTAAATAATGAATAGGAAAAAAAATTATTAATTAATAATGAATAGAAAAAAAATTGTTTAAAACATAGAGAAAAATAATTAGAAATATATTTCATGGAATTAGGAAAAAAATTGAAAAAATTTTTTTAATGGGAAAATTCATATCTATTCAAATTTTTTTGTGTTCTTTGAATTTTTTTTTTTTTTTGACAAAAATATGAATCACGTAAATGCGAAATTTGAAATGTGCGCTTTGGGTAATGCGAGATTTAAAAGCTCGATGTTTAATTACTTTGGAAATACGAGAAATAACTTTACTGCGGAAAAATTGATAGGTATCTATTAATTTCAGATCCACCCAGTGTCCACCCACTTCCAGAATCTGGAGAGCTCGAAATCAATTTAGGGGAAACAGTCGATATGGCATGTGTTGCCAAAGGTATCCCTGTACCAATCATCTCTTGGAAATTTAAAGTAATTATCATTTTTTTTCATTTATAGCTAAAGTTCAAGAGTTGAGATTTTTTAAATTAATTTACAAATATGTGTCAATTAGTTTTTTTATATACTTAAAATTAACTTACAAATGGCTATTTAATTTACAAGTAATTTATAAATGTCAATTAATTTTTCAATTTAAAATTAACTTACAATTTACATTAATTTTCAATTGATATCAATTATTTTTTACTTTAAAATTAATTTACAATTGATATCAATTATTCTTTAGTTTAAAATAAATTTCGATTGAAAATTAATTTACCACTTATTCTATAAATGTAATTATTACAAAAATTTATTAATTTTAAGATAATTTAATAGTAAAGAAGTAAAATTTAGGTCAAATTTTTCAAAAAAATTTAATTAGTTGTTTCCTTTTATTTCCTAAATTTTTAAATAATTTTTCTTTTTAAATATTTTCAATTTTAAAATTAGTGCATTGGAAATCATTGAATTCTTGCAAAGAATTTTATGAAAAAAATTTGATAATAATTAAATTCCTTCGAAGAATTTTATTATTTATAAAAATAATTGAACTTTTGCGAAGAATTTTATTAAAATTTTTGAAAATCCTATAATTAAATACTTTTCAAGAATTTCTTTGAGTTTTTTTAAAATATTGGAGTTTCTTTAGGAATTTTAATTGAAAATTTTGATAGTGATTCTATTTTATGAACAATTTCTTTCAAGTTTTTTAAATAATCGTGTTTCTTAATAATTAGTTTTTTTGAATAATTTTAATTGAAAATTTTGATAATATAATTGAATTTAACAAAAAATTTTTTTAGCTTTTTAAAATAGTCATGTCTGTCAGTAATTATAATTAAATATTTAATTATTGAAGTCTATTAAAATTGTGTTGAAAATAATTTAATTTTTGATATTGAATTTTACTACTTATTAAAAAAATTCAATTGTTTCTAAAAATATTATTAAAAATAATAAAAGAATTGAATTCTTTTATGAGATTTTATTAAAATATTGTATTAAAAATAATTTAAATTTTGCAAAGAAATTTACTATATTTATAAAAATAATTGAATTGGTTTGAAGAATTCATTAATATTTGAGAAAATAATTGAATTCTTTTGAAAAATTTTATAACGCGTTAAAGAAAAAATTGAATTTTTTTCACGAATTTCATTCGTGAAATTTCATTGAAAATAATTGAATTTTTGCAAAGGTTTACTATTTAAAAAAAATAATTGAATTATTTCGAAGGATTTATTAAAATTTTAGAAAATAATTGAATTCCTTTGTGAAATTTTATTGATAATAATTGAATTTTTGTAAAGATTCAATTCAATTCAATTATTTTTATAAATAGTAAAATTTTTTGAAACAAATTTCACTATTTATAAAAATAATTGAATTTTTTCGTATAATTTTATTGAAAATAATTGAATTTTTGCAAACAGTTTACTATTTAAAAAGAATAATTGAATTATTTCACAGGATTTATTAAAATTAAAATTAATTAAAATTAAAATCGTGGAATTTTATTAAAATATTTGTTAAAAATAATTGAATTTTTGTAAAAAAATTTTACTATTTATAAAAATAATTGAATTTTTTCGTGTAATTTTATTGAAAATAATTGAATTTTTGCAAACATTTTACTATTTAAAAAAAATAATTGAATTATTTCACAGGATTTATTAAAATTTTAGAAAATAATTTAATTCTTTCGTGGAATTTTATTAAAATATTTGTTAAAAATAATTGAATTTTTGTAAAAAAATTTTACTATTTATAAAAATAATTAAATTTTTTCGTGAAATTTTATTAAAAATAATTGAATTTTTGTAAAGATTTTACTATTTAAAAAAAATAATTGAATTGTTTCGAAAGAGTTTTGAAAAATTTTAGAAAATAATTGAATTCTTTCGTTAAATTTTATTAAAATTTTGTTGAAAATAATTGAATTTTTGTAAAAAAATTTTACTATATTTACAAAAATAATTGAATTTTTTCGTGAAATTTTATTAAAATTTTGTTGAAAATAATTGAATTTTTGTAAACAAATTTCACTATTTATAAAAATAATTGAATTTTTTTGTGAAATTTTATCATTTATGAAAATAATTGAATTCTCGCTAATAATAAAATAAAAAGTAATAAAAAGCAGTGAAAAATAGAATTTTGAAAATTATGATTGAAATAATGAAATTAGAATTAAAAGAAAAGCAATAATATCAAGAGTGAAAATGTTAATGGCATTAAATTAAATAATAGGATACGATTAAATTTAATATTCAAGTTGATTGTTTTATTTGCAAAATTAACAAAAGGGTGAGGTGATTCCACTGCTCGACCACAGAGATCGTCTTCGATTTAGAACTGACAACATTAATCAAACCGGACGTTATTCTTGTGAAGCAGACAATGGAGTGGGAGATCCGGCTCTTGCTACTATTGATCTCCGAATTCGATGTAAGTCGCTCAATTCATATTCTTTTCTTAAATTTCTTTTTATCTCCTAATATTTTTTAGGAAAAAAATAAAATATTTGAAATATAAAAAGGATTAAAGTGTAATTAACAGTAAAATTAGGTCTATATTCAATTAGGCAATTAAATAATAATATCGTGTAAGTAAATATTAAATTCCTAATAGACAACTCTGGCAGAAAAAATACATTAATAATCATTATCAACTATTAAATTTTATCACATAAATCATTATAATGAATAAAAATTTCATTTAATTTCATTTGACAAACTTGACTATAGGCTCTAAACTGCGAAATGAAGTTCTTGAATTCAAATAAAGTGTTGGTTTGATCAAGTTTAATTAAGACGTGCAGTTGTTGAAAAGTAATTATGTAAATCAGATCTTGGCATGCAAGAAAAGCAATTTTAATTAATTTATCGAATCAAATTGCAATCACCTTGTCGATTAATTGATCAAACGCAAGAGAAGATTCAATTGCCAGTCTTCATTCTATTGTCACACTAGGTGATTCATTCTCACTAATAAAAGACGACCGAGTCATCATAGCTAATCAAGATTCTCAACAAGAACAAATGATGATTTTACGCTCTATTATATTCTAAAATTAGACATTTAATTGAGACTTTTTTTTAATTTCCCATTAGACAATCAGTCAGGCAAAAAGGGCATTTTTTGAAAAACGAAGAGAAAAGAAAGGGGAAATGACGTTAATTTTGTTTCATTGAATTTTAATTCAATTCAATTTGGAAATTTTCTGTCTGACTTAAATTGAACTGTACTACTGATATTGCGAAAATTAGTAGAAATCGAAAGCATTTTTGGTGATTTCAATTTTTTGGTACACTTAAAGAATGAATAATAGTCTCACCAACGTTTCCAAAGGTTAGGGAAATCAGAGAATTCAAGGAAAAGTCAGGAATTTTTATTAAAAGTACAGGTAAAAATTTAATTTTTAGAATTCATAAGAAAAATCTAAATTTTTTGAGTCTTTTTTGTCTACCTCATAAACTATGAAACTACCACCGAATTTTAATACAAAACCTTCAAAATTTTTTTCTATTTCTGAACAGAATGAGTTTTTTATTATTATTTAATTATTTCAAAAGTTTTAACGCAATTAACTTGATAAATAACAAAATTCTTCACAGAAATTCAATTATTTTTAGAAATTTTAATAAAATTCTTTGTAAAATTCAATAATTTTCATAAATAACAATATTCTTCACAAGAATTCAATTATTTTCAAAAGTTTTAATAAACTTCTTCAAAGAAATTGAATTATTTTTCAAAAATTTTAACGAATATTACTCCAAAAATTTAAATAAGATTCTTTTCAAAAATTCAATTATTTTTTTAAATATCAAAATTCATCACAAAAATTCAATTCTAATGAAAAGTAATAAAATACTTTGCAGAAATTAAATTTTAATAAAATTCTTGTCAAAATTTCAATTATTTAAAAAAAATTTAATCATATTCTTCGCATAAATTTAATTATTTTCATAAATTATTATTTAAATTCTTCTCAGGAATTTAATTATTGTTAGGAATTTTAATAAAATTCTTTGCTGAATTCAATTATTTTCATAAAAAAACAATATTCTTCACAAGAATTCAATTGTTTTCAAAAGTATTAATAAACTTCTTCGAAGAAATTCAATTGTAATTAAATGATTTTCAAAATTTACTGTTTTCATAAAATTTATCAAAAAAATTTAATTATCGGAAAGAATTTTTAAAATTATAAAAACATTCAATTATTTTCATAAATAACTTTTAATTCGTCGCAGAAAACCAATTATTTTCAAAAATTTTTAAGCAATTCTACAAAAGAGTTTAATTATCTTGATAAAAGAAACCAAATTTTCCCAAAAAAATAAATTGCTTTTTAAGGAATTTTAATAAAATTCTTTTTAAAAATTCAATTATCTTCATAAATATCAAAATTTATCACAAGAATTCAATTGTATTGAAAAGTAATAAAAAAACTTTGCAAAAATTAAATTATTTTTTAAATTCTCGTCTAGAAGTAATTGTCAAAAATTTTGATAAAATTCTTGGAAAAATTTCAATTATTTATGCAAAATTAAATAAAATTCTTCGCATAAATTTAATTATTTTTATAAATTATTTTTTAAATTCTTCTTAGAAATTCAATTATTTTAAAAAATTTTAATAAAATTCTCCAAAAAGTTTTCAATTTTTTTTTTCAAAAATTGTTATAAAAATTTATTCTATACTAAAGTATAATTAATTTTAGTGAATTTTTAATTAAAAATCCTTAAAAGAAATTAAATTTTTTTCAAATTTTTTTTTAAATTCTTGTCAAGAATTAAATGGTTGTCAAAAATTTTAATAAAATTTTTGTCAAAATTTCAATTTTTTTAACAAAATTTAATAAAATTCTTCGCATGAATTCAATTATTTTCATAAATTATTATTTAAATTCTTCTCAGGAATTCAATTAATTTTAAAAATTCTCCAAAAAGTTTTCAATTATTTTCAAAAATTGTTATAAAAATTTATTATACTAAAGTATAATAAATTTCAGTAAAATTGTCATGAAATGTCTTAAAAGAAATTAATTATTTTCAAAAATTGTTAATAAAATTCTTCGTAAAAATTAAATTTTAAGAAACATTCAATTATTAAATAAACTAGCCAAACTATCCGCGCGCAAGCGCGCGGGAATGTTGTATGGGGCTGCTTATTTTAAACAATTTAAAAAATTATAAAGAAATAATTATTATAACCTAACAAAGAAATTTAACTAACTAAAATCCAAATAATTTCACTCAATGGTCTCAATTTAAATAGAATTTACATTACTAGACTTAAACTATGGCTAGAACAATTACAATTAGTATCTGGGTCATCTTTTGCATTGCTTATTTTATAAAGCCATTTTAAATTAAATACTTTTTAAAGAAATAATAATTATTACACACTGAAAAAAGTTTTACTTGAAATAGCGATAAGTTTCTCTAGAATAACGAAAGTATTAATTGAAGCACTGAATAATTTCGCTACTAAAGTGAAATCTGTAGTTCATCTAGCTAAATATTTTTGCCGTGCATAACGAAAAAAGAATTAAATTAACATCAGATTTTCTACATTCAAAAAAACGAATTCAAATAGAAATTAATCATTTTACAACTTAACCAAATTCACCTCAGAAATCACTGAATTCGATAATTTAGAAGAAAGTCAGACAAAAGCAGGGTTCCTACAGAATCTGGAAATCATGGAAATCATGGAAATGGTATGGAATTTTTAAAAGGCTTCTGGAAATCAGGGAAATCATGGAAAAGGCCTGTAATTTTTAAAAAATTCTAAATTTTTTCAGTTTTCCATTTTTTCTCTTGAATAAAAATTCAAATAATAATAAAGCTAAATGGTATAAAAGAGAAAAAAAAATGTTGAATTTTAAGAAATTCAATTTTTCGGATTTTTGATAATTTTTAATAATTTTTGATAATTTTAGATTTTTTACTAAAGAGTCGAGACAATTTAATAAGTAAAGTATTTTCCAAAAGCACAAAAATAATGAAGCTAAATCCCATAAAAGAGAAGAAAAAATGTTGAATTTTAAGAAATTCGGTTTTTTGAATTTTTGATAATTTTCGATAATTTCACATTTTTTACCAAAGAGTCAAGACAATTTAATAAGTAAAGTATTTTCCAAAAGCACAAAAATAATGAAGCTAAATCCCATAAAAGAGAAGAAAAAATGTTGAATTTTAAGATAATCGGATTTTTGAATTTTTGATAATTTTCGATAATTTTAGATTTTTTACCAAAGAGTCGAGACTATTAAATAAGTAAAGTATTTTCCAAAAGCACAAAAATAATGAAGCTAAGTCCCATAAAAGAGAGGAAAGAATGTTGAATTTAAAGAAAAACGGATTTTTGAAATTTTTTGAATTTTTGATAATTTTAGATTTTTTACCAAAGAATCGAGACAATTTAATAAGTAAAGTATTTTCCAAAAGCACAAAAATAATGAAGCTAAATCCCATAAAAGAGAAGAAAAAATGTTGAATTTTAAGATAATCGGATTTTTGAATTTTTGATAATTTTCGATAATTTCACATTTTTTACCAAAGAGTCGAGACAATTTAATAAGTAAAGTATTTTCCAAAAGCACAAAAATAATGAAGCTAAATCCCATAAAAGAAAAGAAAAAATGTTGAATTTTAAGAAAATCGGATTTTTGAATTTTTTCGAATTTTTGATAATTTTAGATTTTTTACTAAAGAGTCGAGACAATTAAATAAGTAAAGTATTTTCCAAGAGCACAAAAATAATGAAGCTAAATCCCATAAAAGAAAAGAAAAAATGTTGAATTTTAAGAAAATCGGATTTTTGAATTTTTTCGAATTTTTGATAATTTTAGATTTTTTACCAAAGAGTCGAGACTATTAAATATGTAAAGTGTTTTCCAAATGCACAAAAATAATGAAGCTAAATCCCATAAAAGAGAGGAAAAAATGTTGAATTTTAAGAATTTCGGGTTTTTGAATTTTTGATAATTTTCAGTAATTTTAGATTTTTTACCAAAGAGTCGAGATAATTTAATAAGTAAAGTATTTTTCACATTAAAAAGTTTGACATTAAAAAATATATAAAAAATGCCAATACTTAACCCACAAAATTAAATTTTCAAAACAAACAAATGAATGCAGATAATTTGCTAACGGAAAGGAAACTTACGATTATTATAATGTATTATTTATTTTTATATATTTAAATTATTGGATTCTCGTAAAAATTTCTAATAAAAATTGATTTACAAAATGAATTTTGGTTAAAATTTTAGATAATAATTTAATATTAAAAACATTATAACATGAATTTTTAGAAATAATGGAATTTTGGAAAGGTTTAAAATTACAGTCATTGGAAAGCTAAATTTTTCGTACTTTTAATTAATAATTGATTTAAAGAAAAATTCTAGTAAATAATAATTAAATTTAAATAATGAAAATAATTTCAAAGAAATTACAGTAAGAATACACTGTAAAAAATGTAGGGAGTTAACGGACTCGGGAGTTGGGAGTGAAATTTTTCGAGTTAAAAATCAACTCCAGAAGAGAGTTAATTTCTAACTCCCTTCATTCAACACCCGGGCGAGTTATTTTTTCCTTGGGGAGTTAGCATTTGTGTGTGAAGTTTTAACTCTCTTTATTTAACTCCCCTGGCATTAACTCCCCAATGGGTGCGACTTTTATAGAATCCCCTGGGGAGTTAAAATTTAACTCCCTTTTTTTACAGTGTATTCTTATATAAAATAATAATTTTATCACTGGGCTGTCTTTAATTATTATAAAAACAGAAAGAAATCGATCGACTTCTTTATGTTTATAATAAATATTTTTGTAAGTTAATCAATTTCAAAACGTTTGAATTTTAAATTTCCGAAAATCTTCATTCCTATGGAAAAATATTAATTATTAAATATTTATTTAAAAAAGAAGTTATTGATGTTTTCGAATAATTTTACAATTAAAAAAGTTCTTAAATAAATGTATTAGAATATTTTTCTTAGTAGCTAATAATTTTTAGAATGAATCTTAATATTTTTTAGGGGCAGGGAAAAAATTAAAATTCTGTCTCGAAATCAGGCAAAAGTCAGGGAAAAACAAAGTTAAATTTGTGTGGTAACCGTGTTGACTTAAGTAATGCTTTACTACTAATTTAATTAACTTTTAAATAACTGTTTAATTAACTTTTAAATATTATGTCGTTTTGGAATAATTTTGTGCCATTTAGATCGTAAATTAATTATTTAATTACTTTCTGTCTGACTAAAAACGTCTTCTTCCTCTATATTTAAAGCAAAACCTAGTTAATTGGAAACTGCTTTGTACTCAAAATAGAATTAGAAGAAATTAAAAATATTTTGTCTCGATTAAACAGTTTTTCACTTAAAATACGGTTTAACTGGATTTTTCTGATTATATTTGGATTTTTGTTGGACTTAAATAACTATTTTCCACTTAAAAAACCCATAAATTAAGATAAATATATTTTGTCTGACCGAAAAACTTCTTTTCCACTTAAATCGAACATTAAATTATCAAACAATTATTTTATGCAACTGGTGTAAAAATAAAAAGAAATTAAACTTGCTGTATGTCTTAAACGTTCCTTTTCTACTTAAAACTCAAATCAAAATGAGGAACAAGTCTGACTTAAATAACATTTTTCCACTTTTGAAGTCGAATTAATTTAAAAACTCTATTTCTACCTATAATATTTAATTAATACACTGAGAAAACATTTTTTTAATCTTAAAATAAATAATCAACCGCAAAAAAATATGTTTGAATTAAACATACATTTTATAATTGAATTAAACGTAATTTTTATTGAATCAAATTTATGTATTGAATCAAAATCATTATGTTTGATTTAAAAATAATTTTTGATTGACTGCATAATAAAAGATAATTATATTTGATTCAAATATATTTTTTCTCAGTGTAGGAAAATTGTGTTTATTCACAAATATTGTTTGTTAATTATTATTTGTTACTCATTAATTGTTAATTACTGAAATTGAAAATTAGAAAAAATTGAGAGCATTTAGTTATAGTGATACCTATGATTATAATTTAGCAATTAGAAAGGAAAATTAATACAATTTGATTAATTTCATATCAACAGATAAACCAATAATAGAAGTAAGGAAGACGTGGATTCACGCATCTCCTGGGATACGTGTGCAATTTGATTGCAGGGTCAGTGCTTGGCCCGAGGCGAAGGTGAGTAATTGAGAATAATTCAATTAATTATATATTACCGACACAAAGCTGCTGCATCACTGTATTTCAAGCAATCATTTCAATTTCCACCCTTTGACCAATGTTTAAACCAATTTGTATCGACAATCACGTACTCAAATTTTTATTAATAAAAATTCCACCTAGACAATTGAAATTATAGCTCATTGTCAAATAAGGCCTTCTTTATTTTGGAAAATATTTTTTTTTCAAAAAAACTTCAATTTTTTCTATTTCTTACATTGATTTCTTTTTAAATAACTTAATTCTTGAAAAACAATCATAAAATTATTTCTTGTCAATTATTTAATGAATAATTTTACTTAAATATTTCAAAGAATTTTAAAAGAGTTGCGTTTACAATTTTTATAAATAGATGAACTTCAAAAGGTTTCAATTTAAAATTTTATAAAATTTCAATTTGGAATGAATTTAATTAGAAATTTTAAAGAACTTAGATTTTTGAAAAATTTTAATAATCCAAATTCTTCCAAAATTAGACAGTTAAATTTATTTAATATATATATTTAATTAATTATTAAAAATAATGGAAGAATTTTAGTTAAAAACAATTAAAAAAAATGAATTTTGGAGAAGTTCCAAATGATTGCAGGAATTATTTTTATTATTTTCAAACGCAATAAAATTTTTATCACGAAATTCAATTATGTTCAAAATTTACAAAAAAGTCTCGACAAAATCCCAATTATTATCTTTATAAATAAAAAAATTCTTCTTCAAAATTCAATTAGGTATTTTCAAAACTTTTAATAAAAAATTCTTGTCAAAATTTCAATTATTTTCAAAAATTATCCTCAATTAAATAATTTTCCATGTCTACTATTTTAATAAAATTTTCCAAAAGAATTCAATTATTTAAAAAAATAAATTTTATAAAATTCTACGCAAACATTTAATTATTTTCATAAATAAATCAAATTTCACAGGAATTCAATGATTCACAAAGTTTTTATAAGTTTCTTCGCAATAATTCAATTATTTTTATAAATATTAAAATTTCTCAGAGAAATTCAATTATTTTCACAAATAATAAAACTCATCGGAGAATATCAAGTATTTTTAATACAATTTTAATCGAATTTCTAGAAAAATGTTATTATTCATTAAAATTTTATTCAAATGCAACAAAAGAATTTAATTATTTAAAAATTTGTTGATAACATTTTTTATGAGAATTTCAATTTTAGGAAACATTCAATTAAAAATAAAATTAAATTAAACATAAAATATTTCATTTTTGTATTTAATCAATTAAATGCAGGTAGAATTTAAAAAAAAAATGTATTTAAAATCAATTCAATCAAGCAGGAACTTTTCGAAATAATTGAATTTTGGAGAAGCTATAAATAATTGTATTTCTATACAATTATTATTAATTAATTATTTTCAAATTTTTTTTCAAAATTTTTGTCAAAATTTCAATTATTTTCAAAAAATTTTCTGAATTCAATGATTTTTAATATCTACTATTTTCATAAAATTTTTCACAAGAATTCAATGATTTAAAGAAAATGTTGATAACATTCTAAGGAAACATTTAATTATGTTCATAAATAATAAAAATTTCACAGTAATTCAATTATTTACAAATTTTTTATAAACTTTTTCGTAATAATTCAATTATTTTTATAAATATAATAAAATTCTTTTTAGTTATTCAATTATTTTTTTATAAATAATAATACTCATCATCGCAAAATTTAAATTATTTTTAATAAAATTCTAATCAATTTCATCCAAAAATCTAATTATTCTTAAAAAATTTATGAAAATTCGTCAAAAGAATTGAATTATTTAAAAATTTGTTGTTAAAATTCTTTATGAAAATTCAATTTTGAAAAAAAAATTCAATTATTCAATAAATTATTTATTTTCATTTTATTTGTATTGAAATAATTGAATTCTCGTAGAATTTTCTGATAAAAATTGATTTAAAAATGAATTTCAGTAATTTCAGTTAAAATTTTAGATAATAATTGAATATTAAAAGCATTATAGCGTGAATTTTTAGAAATAATTGAATTTTTTAAAGATTTCAAATTAAAATCTTTGAAAATCTGAATTTTTCATACTTTTGACTAACAATTACGTAGAATTAATTTTTTTTATTTATTGGAAGTTTTTATTTTCTAATATATATTTAATTGAAGAATTTCCGAATAATCGAAATTTCGTAAAATTGAATTGTAAACAAATGGATTTAAAAATTTTCAGAGAACTTTTTTAAAGTTTATTAAAAATAATTGATTTAAAGAAGAATTTTAGTTAAAAATTCTAGAAAATAATAACTGCATTAAAATAATGAAAGTTTAATTAATTAATTAGTTAAATATACCTACTGAATTCTTTGAATTAAATTCCATTTATTTATTTAGTTAAATATACTAAATTCTTTGAATTAAATTTAATTAATTGATTAGTTAAATATACTAAATTGTTTGAATTAAATTAAATTAATTAATTAGTTAAATATACTAAATTCTATGAATTAAATTCAATTAATTAAAAATAGTTAAGCGAAAAATGAATTATGTTGTTTTAATTAATTAATTAAAGTAAAAGTTTTAAAAATTTTTCTAAAAAGAAAAAAATAAGAAAGTTGATAACTTATGTAATTCTATTCTTTTTCAGGTGGAATGGTATTTTAAGGACGTGAAAGTGCCATATTCGCAGAGAGTAGTGAAGCAGACGAATGAAAATGTTCACAGTTTAATTATAAGACAAGTGGTAATTTATGACTACGGACAGTACACTTGCAATGCGACAAACTCTTTGGGTTCGGCGGAAACTGTCATTGAATTATCGGGTGTAGCAAATCCGGCTATTTTCAAAAAGGAATCACACGCAATTTCCAAAACTGCTTATAACTTCATTTGGGAAGTTGATAGCTACAGTTCCATTATCGAATATCAATTTTGGTTTCGGCGGTATAAGGTGAGAATATAATTTAAATTTTGGCAAATTTTTTTTCCAAACTTTGAATATTATTTCCTGTCTGACTTAAAGAGGACTTTTTTACTTTTCCAAATTTCTTCTTTTTGTATTTTTTTTATATCGATAATTAGTACGTAAATAATAAAATAAAATAATAAATAAAAGTAGAAAAAAAAGAATTAAAAAAATAAAGCTAATAAAATGTAAATAAACTTTGTCTGACTTGAACAATATTTTTCTTTACTGAAAACAGTAAATTTCGTCGAATTCATTTATATCGAACTAATTGATTTTAATTTAGCAAAATTTGCTGTTAATTTAACAAAGTTCAATTTTCAATTTCAAATTTTGAGTTAGTCTGACTAAAACTGTTTTTTTCTTCTTAAAATTAAATTATAAAGAATTATTTTTATTTAATTTTGTTCAAGTAGAAAAAAATTTGTTTAAAAATGTCTGTCTGACAAAATAAGATTTTCTCTACTTTAACCTTCCAATTGAGAGACTATAATTAGTAAAGAATCATCCCGTCTGACTAAAATGATTTTTTTCTATTTAGTTCAAGTTGATGGAAATTATTTAGTAGAGAAACATTCTGTCTGACTAAAAGGTTTTTTTCACTACTTAAAATTATTTTTGCAATGACATATTCTTATTTAATTTTGTTCAAATAGAAAAAAAAATTGTTTCGAAATTGCTGTCCGACTAAATAATCTTTTTCTACTTAAAATTAATATTTTAAATAATAATTTTAAATAAATAATAAATTAATAATAATAATAATATTTTAAATAAATAATTTTATTAAATGTTATAGTTAATTTTATTAAATACTATGATTATTATATTTAAAAGCTGAATTATTCTCTCATTTACGAACTTTAAATAGAAAAATATTATTTAATCAGACAGAGCTTTGAAAATTATTTTTTACCACTTAAATACTATTAAATAAGAATATTTCAAAATATTAAATTTAAGTGGAAAACATTTATTTAGTCAGACAAAAATTTGGAAATTATTTCTTTTTCTACTTAAAATTGAGTAATTAATTTGGAAATTATTTCTTTTTCTACTTAAAATTAAGTAGAAAAAGAAATAATTTCCAAATTTTTGTCTGACTAAATAAATTTTTTCCACAATTAAATTTAATATTTTGAAATATTCTTATTTAATGGTATTTAAGTAAAAAAAAAATTATTTTCAAAGCTCTGTCTGATTAAATAATATTTTTCTACTTAAAGTTCGTTAATGAGAGAATAATTCAGCTTTTAAATATAATAATCATAGTATTTAATAAAATTAACTATAACATTTAATAAAATTATAAAATTTGATAAAATTAATGATAATATTTTTTGTGTAAATTATTTGGAATTAATTTTTTTCTTTGACATCATAGAAAGGTGAGGACTGGGTGAAATTATTCGTTCCAAGTGGAAGTAACGCCATCGGACCATTGCATACAAGATCTTTCAACTTGACTGGATTACAGCAAGGAACTCTCTACGAAGCTCTAGTTTCATCAAGAAATCGTGATGGATGGAGTAAACCTTCAAAACTTTTTATATTTACAACTGACGATACATGTAGGTTAACTACTTTTCGAAATTTTTTTCTTTCCTAGAAAAACTAATATTCATTCACTATTAGAAATTATGCCACTAACTAATTTTTTTCGAACTTTTTTCCACTTTTTCAATTTAAAATTTAAAATTAAATTAAATTAAATTAAATTAAATTAAATTAAATTAAATTAAATTAAATTAAATTAAATTGTAAATTATAATTACAATTTACAATTATAAGTTATAATTATAATTTCAATTATAATTTACAATTTACAACTTACAATTCATAATTTAAAATTTACAATTATCAATTCTAAAGACGAGAGAAAATAATTACTGTTTGGGTATTTTGTGTTAACTTTTATAAAAAAAAACAATTTCCATACGTTTATAGATTTTCAATATTCGCTGTAAAAAAGAATGCTATCAATTAATGGTTGCCAATAATTTAGTGAAACGACAGAGTATTGACTTTTTTAGATGATTGTTTCGTTTTTGTTAAGTATTACTTTTTTTATTTGCAAAAAACTGAAAATTACAATAATAAAATTTTTTTTAGCGATTTAATTCAGATTTAAGAGTATAAATTTCTTTTTTTTTATTTCCAGACGAAAATAAAGCTGATGAATATGCAAGGACAAAAGTTCAAGACGATAAATTAATTCCAGGTAAAAATTAATTAAAAGTTTTACAATAGAAATTTTAGTGTTGCAAAAAGTAATATTGGACGATATTTTTTTGCGAAACTAATTGTATGTTTATAAACAAAATTTAGTGACTATATTTTTTTTGGAAAAAATATTATCGATAAAATTAAAATTTTCCCCGGTATAGAAGATTGCTTTCCATAACTTCCGTCAGCTCGTGAGGAAATTGACAAATTTTCCAATTAGCATGCTCCAGTCTTCATTTCCCAACTAATATTTTCCCCATATAACTTGAAACGAAATTTTCAATATGTATAAGTTATTTATTTATAGACAGTAAATAATTAGACGTTTATTATTAATTTTTCTAATCTCTTTGTTTTGTTCATTTTTAAATTTATTTGTTTAATTAATTTTGAAATTAGTTTTGTCAATTTTAAAATTCGTTTCAATTTCAAAATTTATTCAATAAATTTAATATTTGGTTCATTAATTTTTTAACTTATTTCAATTTTTAAATTTGTTTCAATTTTGAAATTCGTTCAATAAATTTAAAATTTGTTTCATTAGTTTCTTAATTAGTTTCAATTTTGAAATTTACTTAATTAATTTTTAAATTTATTTTAATTGTGTTTGTAAAATTAATTTTGAAAATTGTGTCAAGCTTTGAAATTTTTTTCATTAAGTTTTAAATTTGTTTAATTTTAATACCGCTGAGAATATTCAAAAACAAAAAATTTCCAATACTTAAACAAATTCCAAAAAATAATAATAAAAAACAATTTCTCAAATTAATTGTTAAACCTAAGAATAATAAAATAAATATTTATTTTTTTCAGTGGTTCATCTCGCTTCAATGTCACAACAATCTTCAATGAATGATGCAACTGCCAATGGAACGAATTCCTACCACGTGAATATTTTCATAACAATTTTATCAATTTTTATTTGTTTAAGTCAATGAATTTTTATAGAAACCGATAAATTTCTAATATCAATTTGTTTTTAATAGTATTTCGTGAATTTTGTTAAAGTTTTAATATTTGTATTCAAGCGAAAAGAAATCAATTTTAAGAAACGTTATAAAAATTTTGACATTAAACACGGAATATTCTATTGATATTCCTTGAACATTCCACTGTACGCAGAGTATTTGTAATTTCTTTTTAGAAATATTTAATTCCTATAGATATTTTCAGCAAAAATTTTATTAATTAAAATACTAAAATGAAAATTTTTGTAATTATTAATAATTTAATCAATTATTTTTTGAAAATTAATAGTTTATTCAATTATTTTTTTGATAATTAATAATTTATTTAATTATTTTTGTGATAATTAATAATTTTTTCAATTATTATCTTATAATAGTTTTTAATTTATTAAATTATTGTTATAATAATTAATGAGAAATCAACATTTTTCAGAATTGTACAATATTTTAAGAACATTGCTGGAATATTCCCAAAAATATTTAAATCGTTCCAAAGAATTTTTTTTAATTATTAAAAGAAAATTTATATACTTTAGAAAATAATTTCTCTAATATTTCCATAATATTCCAAATGCACATTCCAAAAATTAACACTAGAAGAATTTTCAAAGATTGTATTAAAAAGTTTTTACAAAAAAATTTCGTAATATTTTTCGAACACAAAATATAAAGAGACATTAATGGAATATTCCGTGTAAAAATACAAATAACAATAAAAAAAATTTCAAACTTGTTACAAATACTTAAATTGAATGTGATTCAAATTATAAGTTATTTTTAAAATTCAGATTTTAAATGCTATTATACTTTATATTTGTAATATGAAAATAATTCACAATTTTTTTTTATTTGACAATAATTAATAATTATCGCGTGATTTAAATATATGTGAAAAATATTTTTAAGATACTAAATCATCTTGTGTGTATATATATTATATAAAAAGGAGAGAAAAAAATTGTAAAAAAAAAGAATTGCCTTCGATATGCATGAGAAAGTTACGTGACATGCTAATATTATCGTACCACGAGCTTTAAATGATAATATCAGTGCTTTCGGGAATAACACGAACTTCTCTGCTAGGGAAAACAGTGTAATTGAACTAATTGTTTGTTCGAAATTATACAGCTCGAAACTAAAATTCATATATATAATATGTTATTCTTAATTTACATCCTAGGCAAGAATTATACAATAAAAATGTGTAATATTAAGTTTCTCTGTAAATATTAGATTATAAATAACAATAACGTTATATCTTAACTGACTTTTTAATTTTTTTTATTTCATATCCCATTTTTCTTTTTTGTAAAATAATATTCTATACAATAATGTTGTTACTCGTGCAAAGTTAGGAACATGATATATCGAAAAGAAAAAATTTTAAATTCACAATGTATAAATAATATATAATTTATAATATATTATAAATTTTATATTGTATACTATATATTATGTATACATATTTATAAATAATACATATTTAATTTTTTAAAAATTGATTGGGAATCATATATAAGTTTTCAAATGGTTTCCAATTCGTATCGTATAATTATAATAATAGAAACAATAATAATTAATTACTAATTAGTTTATTAATATTAATAAATTAATTAATATTAACATTAATTAAGAATTAATCAGTAGTTATTAATAATATTAATATTAATACTAATATTAATAAATATAGTAATATTAATATTAATAATTATTATAACTCTTATTATTGTTATTTTTATTATTATTATTTAATTCAGAATTTTTTTTTCAATTATTTAGGTATGCATTTCGCATTGGAACAACGCATTGAGTATATAATATTCAATATTCAATGATTTTTTCATATCACTTCATATATGTAACAAATTCGTTTGCGATAACGACTACGAAGTCCTTGTAGCGAAAAATTATCTTAACATTAAACCCTATAGAGTCCAAATCAGTTTCTATTTTTTTTATTTTTATTTTTTTTTCATTTGTTTTTTTAGTACATAGTAACTTTCAGTCATATATTTTTTTTTAATTTTCATCTTAATTCTCTCAGATCATGCCACTGAAAATAATTTTATAGAGAAAAATATCGAAAATATTTTTTTTTAAATACAATATAATTCAATTATTTGTAATTGCATAATATTTACATAATTTTACTAATAATAAATTAATTTTCATTAGAGAACAAAAAAAAGGAGTTTTGTAAAAATACAATTATAAATGAAAGAAAATTTCGATTGTTCGATAAATAATAAACACCAGAGGAATTATTTTCATGCAAATATATTTCGTCGTAACATTTTTAAAACATGTGAAATTATTACTTTTCAATTAGTAATTGAATAATAAATTAATTCTAAATAAACTGTTGTGAATATCGAATAGAAAAAAATTTTGAATAACAAAAAAGATAATTTCGAAAAAATTAATAAAAATCAGTGGCATGATCCTATAATATTAATTATATTAAAAATTCTTTTCTACACTCGGAACTGATCATCGCGGCTAAATCCAACGATTGGTCAGGGCGATGAATCAATAAATACAATGTCGGTATTTCTTTTTTCTTTGTTTTTTTTTATCAACAATTACCAAAGTCAGCAAAAGTGTAAAATCTATCGTCGATAAAACGAGCACGATCGATTTCCAGCCTTTTATCATTCTAATACAAATTTTTCCCATTGCATTCGAATAAAAAACAAATTTTTCCTTTACTAAACGAAAAAAAAATATTGAAAAAATATTCAATGAAAACTGCAAGCAATGCAAAAAATACAACAATTAATTAGGTTAATAATTGCTTAATAATTATTTAATATATTAATTCATTATTAATCATTATTAATGAATTTCATTAATTAATAGTCACATTAATAATCATATTAATTGATTAAATAATTTATTAGGTAAATATTTTGTATGAATTAAATAAATTCCAAATAGAAATACTAATTCTGATTCAAAAAAATTGAAACGTATTTCTATAAAATGAATTTCATTTTGGTCCAAATTTTAAGTGGAAAAATAAAACGAAATACGCATAAAAATTGTGATTTATGCAAATGCAACAGGAATGTAACGTTAATTATTGTGCATTTCATGACGGTTCAATTACAAAAATTTTGTGCGTCATTCTGAAACAGATTGTGACATATCAGGACAATTATTGATTACAATAACGAGCTATAACTTTCTCAGGATAAAATATTAAACGTCCATTTCATAAAGTATATTATATGTTGATACCTCTCATTTGTTTTACAGAAAATTCTATAGATTTTCAGATGCTTTCAAAAATTAATTTAAATAAAAAAAAAGTAAAAACACTTTGCATACATTTTTTCTTCTTCTCTTATAAATAGAAAAAGAAAAACATTCTCTAACGTATAAATAGCTTCAAAAACGTGTACAAATAAAATATAAGTCAAATGTCTCGAAAAGTTTTTTTACTCTTAAAATTATGCAGTGAACAATAATAGCGTTTCACTGCACAAGGCAATGTCCACTTTTTTTCTGTACAAACTTGTTTTGTTTTTTTCGTCGAAAAAAGAAATTTTCAATATTTTTTTCTTTTTATAAATGTACAAAAAAAAAGGATAAAGCTCTACTTTTATTTAGCTTTATCATTTTTTTTCCTTCTACGTATTAGAAAATATTGGAGAAAAAAGTTTTAGTTAAAAAATACAGAAAAAAAAGTAATAAAATCTTTCTAGACAGAAAATATTCTTTTTCGTAGAAACAAAACTAAAAATTGACTTCAAGTTTCACTGAGATCGGCGTACATTTTTTTCCCCCTCTATTTTCGAATTGATACATTTATGTATATTTTATACAATTTAAAAAACAAGTACAAATATTTCGCAGTCAGTGAATTATTGTTCCAATTTTTCGATGTTGTTATAAAATCGCATTTCGACATTTGGCCAATTTGTTGTTTTTTTGAATAATTCTTACAAAAATTTCACTTCAGAAAGAAAGAATACAGTCAATTTACAAATTGTATATTTATTAATACGCTAATGATAAAAATGCTCATTCTATTATTATAAGTATCTCTTTTCACATATCAGTAATAAAAATGCAACAGTTTTATTATGACAAACATTTTTTTTTCTTCTAAATCAACCAACTAATTTGATTTTTATACAAGAGATGACTTACACTGTCAATGTAATTCTCAAAAAAATTCACTTTCACTACAGTATATTCATATTTATTACGACTCCTCGACAAATTCATCTGGGCACGTTCTGTGATATTTAAGTTTTCGACAAATTTTTCAAAACAAAAAAAACGAGATTCTAAATTGAATTTTTCAGTAACAATAATAAGCAGACTTTTTTTTATTAAAGAACCGTTCATTGTGAAAACGATTAAATTCAGTTCTTTTTTGACATTAACAATCAATTACAACTATGGTCTAAACTCTAAAGTTAAGAAATTAAATTATAAGTTAAATAAAATGAATAAAATGGATAAAACGAATAAAATGAATAAAATTATTACATTAATACAATTAATAAATTGTTAATACGATTATAATCGTGTATTATAATTAATGGTTAATTATTTAGACAAATTTAATACTTATTTTCAATAGAAATTAATACTTATTTTAGTAAAAATTAATACTTATTAATTGGTAAAAACAAGAAGTTAATTCTATAAATAACTGACAATGACACTAAATATTCTGTAGAAAGTCAGTTATTCGTACTTCAACGATTGCTTGAGCAAAGGAGAATTATTTCGTTAAATTATACATTTTTCTAATATAATGTGCGTTAAACTCGACAAAACTTTCAGTCTGGCACATAATTTACATGATCTAAATTTATAATCTCAAGAGAGAGAGAACGAGTTTTTCTAGTTTCTTTGGTTTCGGAAAGCAAAAATATTCTTTCCATTTCTGGATAAAATCTTTGCTAAAGCGAATGTACAGAAGCACTGAGATGTTATTTTTAAAGAAAACATTAGTCTTACAAGTACGAGTATTCTTCAATAAAATTAAATTATATTATAATATATAATAATATTATAAGGTATTTAATAATAATATTATAATATATAATATAATTACAATAATGTTATTACAATAATATTAACGTAAAATAAATATTACATTCGGTAAAATTTTCATATTTTTTTTCAGTTTAAAATTTAAAGTCGATCACGTCGTATAATGCGTTCCATTTTTAACAATTAAAAACGATCCAACCAATAATGAATAAACAATTAATAAATAATTGCCAGTTGAAAGAGAATGAACGGTTCCTTAATTATGAAAATTACAACACTAGCAATATGGCTGGAAGCCTTTCACGTGGATTATTAATAAGATTACAATATTATGGCAAGCGAGGCTCTCCTCCAATTCCACAAAATTTAAAATTCATCTCTTTAACATTTTTTTCACCCCTCTTTCTCTTCTGCCTATATAAAGCATCAATAATACAATAAAAACTGCTCTTTTTTTCCTTTTAATCATAAATTATCATATTTAAAGCTCCCGCTATTCTAATCGGTCTAACTTTAAATTTTTCTTTAAAATGTATTTTCACAGAGTGACTGGAAAATTGAGTTAATCTTCTTCTTTTTTTTCTTATTATAATGCTCATTTTGTCATGATGTGCAAAAATTATCTTTTTTTTTGTCAATAAAATTCTAAATATTGGACAAATATATATTTAACTACGCAGTGAATTTTAATTGTACAAATAATTCGAATGAATATTTCAGGACATTAAAGAAGAATAATAGTAAAATAATTTCCTCGTCACAAAAAATTGATGAGAAATTTTTTTTTCAAATGAAAATTTTATCGTCCTGAATATCGTTGTATCTATAGTATTTATTTTGTTCTGTAAATTATCTCCTTTCACACCTGAGCCATTTTATTTTTGCAATGCCAGAAGAATCAAATTAATGTGCATTTTTACTATTATGAAAATTATATTATTATATTCTGAATACAATATTTAGCTCATTAGTTAATAATATTAAATATTAGTAAATGTTTTTAATAATAAACACTTTTTTTAATATTCAATCTTTTTCGAATACTAAATATTTTTAATTTTCAAATACGTTTTCAAACATATTTTCTTCCACGAAATATTTTTTAATACCAAGTACTTTTTACAATATTAATAAATATTCAGTACAGACAATATATTGATAAATAAATATTTAGTACTTGGAAAAAAATGTTTTAGAAATTTCGAATGAAAATTACTTCTGACATCACAAGCTAAAAAATACAACAGGAACTCTGTGCAAGTAACAGATCTAACTTTAACTTCTAGCTTCACTTTCTTCTAAACAATTCTACTAAACACTAAATGTGACAATTATTTACGAGTTTTCTTAACAACTCGTTTTTTTATTACTTTAATATTGCTCACAATTATTTTTTCCACTAAGTGTTCATTTTTTTTTATTTATTGGTCTTCATTTGTGATTATATTTTGGGAAAAATCTTGTGCATAAAATAAAAACTAATTTGTACAGAGCTCCTATTGAATAGAAAATTTATAAAAGAAAAGCAATTTTAGATTCTTGCTTTGAAAAATTAAAAAAAAGCTTAAACACGCTTATTCGAATACTTTTTTCATTTCGATTGGAAGCACAAGAATCATTGTATGAAAAATGAAAATAAATTGTTATGTATATGGCTTTCTAAAGCAACTTATGACTAATAGTAGCGATAGAATTATTTCTCCATCGATATAAATTTACGATTAAAAATTAAAATAGATTTTTGAATAAAAAATAACTAACTCGTACTATCATTGTGCATCTCTTTTTTTTTCTTCTTCTTTTTCTCATTTAAATTGTGTTCTGCATAGATAGAATTGTGTACTGAAAACACTAGATGCTGTTGTGCAAAATGGAATTCTTATGATATGTTTAATAACTATCTCAAAATTCAAAATTCATGTTGTTTCAGTACTTTTAGATAAAATTTTTCTATGAACACAGTATTTTGAATGTTTTTTTAAAAACCCCTTTTTTTGAAAAGCATACCCTTATTTCCAAAGAAAGTAAAATTTGATTTATTCAAAGCAATTTTTACCTTTAAAGCAAATTTTACCTCTAAAGAAAACTTTTCCATTCTTAAATGGAAATAAATTTGGAAATTTATACAAATAGAAATTACAATTATAAATAATTTAAAAATTCTTTTTAACAAAAAATTTCGTAAAACTTACGAAACATTGATAAAAAGTCCCAAAACTAAAAAAACTTTTAAAAAAATGTCATTTAAAAATACTTCAAGTACTAAAACGTTGAGTATTATAATTTTAAAAAAAATTTACTCTGCGACAGTAAATTTTACTATAGTGCGATTTTAAATCAGGTATTCAGCTACAACACAACCCTTTTGTAGAATTAATATATAGTCATTCGCACATATAAATCTAATGGTCGATATAAAAAAAGTCTCTTTAAAAGGACTCTTAAGTTTGTAACGTATTTGAAATTTCTCGATGTACAGTGACTAAATCTTGAATGTGTCCAGCTAATCTGGTATTTAATGTGTCCAAATTTTGTTTTTGAACTTTATTGGCACCCAATGCAAGTTCCAATTGTTCATGAACCACATTTAACATGTCATGAAGGTCGGCATTCTCCTTTTGTAAAACCTGTAAAATTATTCATTAATCCACCGATTGCAAAGAGCACCAGAAAATATCGCCAAAAAAAAAAAAAAATGTATTTTTTTCTAAATGCCAAATATAATGAAAGAAGAGCTTCTCTATTATATGTGTAACTAGAATTAATTAATTTCCCATCGTGATAATTTTGATTCTCATTTATCTTAAATCTAAAATTGATTTTCTTCTCCTGAAATGCCATTTAATGTTAATTAATATTATCGGCGTTTTCAATTACTTGACGATTGAAATTAATGTTAATTGAAAAATGAATTGAAATTTGGAAATAATTAAAAATACAAAGCTTTCTGGTGAGAAAGCAAAAATTAGATTTAAAAAATACAAAATTAAAATGAAAACAAAAGTAAAAAAATTAAAAGAAAAAAAAAGAAAAGAAAAACAAAATTAAGGAATAAAAACGAAATAATAGAAAATAATTTAGTTATTATTTCTCCTTCTACTTCTTTATAAATATAAAAATTAAAATTTTATAATGAATTTTTTTCACATACCATGTAGTCCTTATTTTTAGTTGCCATTGTAAATGCTTTGATTTCTTCATTTCGCGTTCTAAGTTCGTTTTCCAAGGCTTCAACTCGTAACCTTAATGCTTCGACATTTCCTTCGGCAATTTTGCCAGCTTCTAAATCTGCATATCTTGTTTTCACTCGTGTATTCTCTTCTTTATAGAGTTGCAACTGCCTCTTCCATTCATCAACATTTGCTGTTGACTCCTGAAGAGCACTAGTCAATCTTGCATTATTTGTCTTTAAATTAGTCAACTCCACCTGTAAATGTAAATACCCTTAAGTGATTGCTCTTCAAACTATTTTAAAACAAAAAAATCGAAATTCTATTTTCAAATTTAATGGAATGAATGAAAGAATAAATTTAAGAAAATTTCAGTCGCTATTTTATGACAAAAAGATAAAACAGGGTGGTCATAAGTTTCAATTTATCAATTTTCCTGACAATTTACTGACATTAAAATTACTTTCCCTGTAAAAATTCTTTTTACAGGAAAATATGAATTTTTACAGAAAATGAGTAAAATTTATGGATTTTAATAATTTCTAAAAATTACAATTATAACCCTTCCTGAATTCAATTATTTTCTACAATTTTCATCTAAACTTCATCTCTAAATCAATTAATTTAAATAATTTTTCAAAACTTCTTTTAGAATTCAATTCTATTTTAAAATAATTTTCAATTTTGAAAAATTTCCAAACAATTAAAATTTGGTAAGATCTTTTAAAAATAATTGAATTTTTGAAAAATATAAATAAAAATGATCAAATTTTTGAAGAATTATTATAAAATTCTAATAATTAGTTTTTAAAAATATTTTAATGTAATTTTTCAAAAATAAATAAATTTCTTAAAAGAATTTTCGTATAATTTAAATCAACTAATTAATTTTTTGATGAATTTTGATTGATGATTGTTTTCTTCAAAATATTAAAAGTAATTCTAAAATGTTATTATTTTTGTATGTATTTGACTTTTTGGTAATATGTGATTGAAAATACTAAAAATATTGAATTTTAAAAAATTAAAAGCTAATTTTCATTTTAAATTTACCTTTAAAGATTTTTCATTCTTCAAAAGTTGATTTTCAAAAATTGTAACAAAATATTTAAAATAAATAAATTATTTTCAATTAAATTTTACAAAATTTCAACTATTCAAAAAGATTTTTATTGTAGATATATTTGAAAAATTTAATTTTGTTAAAAAATGATTCAAAAACAATTTTTGAAAGATTTGTTTATAGTTATTTTTCGCATTATAAAAATTAAAATAAGTTGCACTTTTTTTTTACTAAAACTAAACTTAACTAAACTAAAACCTAACAATAATTTAATTTTTTAATTTAGTTAAATTTAGAATAATTTTTATTTAATTTCAAATAATTTTCATTTAATTGCATAACATAATTTTTATTTATTAATATTTGTAAAAAAAATTGGAATTCTTTCTCACCTCCCATTTTTTGGCATTGGCGGAACTTTGTGCGAGTGCAAGTTTCAACCTATCGTTCTCATATTTGAGTTGCATTTCGGCTGATTGACCACTTTGAGCAGCATTATGCTGAGATGATTTTCCCTGATGCTGAGGACTCTCGGTATTTTGTTGTGAGATGCTTTGCGATCTCGAGTGTAATGCATTTTTCAATTCTTCATCTTTCACCTGACATATACCACTAAGTAAAGGACTGCTACTAACCGATGAGACATTATTCTGAGTAGCTATCATATTTGCATTTGAATTTTGATTACTTGACGCTGACATATTGGAATTCATCATTGACGAATTTGGTGGGTCAATTAAATCCTGATCGCCGGATGTCATTCCAGATCGTGATGTAATTGGACTAACATTTGCACTCGTTGCTGGTGTAACGGACGAACTGTTCGATTGCAACTTACTGCCAGCAAGTTTTGTAGCTTCCTTAACTTCATGGAATTTCTCAATGAACTGTGAATTCAAAATTATTTCATTTAATGATCAATTAAATGAGTATCATCATCATATTATTATTATTATATTATTTGTATAATTTATTTGAAAGAGAAAAATTAAATTGCGAAACTAACTTTAGCTAATTCGGCTTCGGATGAAAAACCCAAACCATAGACAGTATTTGCTCTCGCATCTGACCACTGACCGAATTTTTGAGAAGTCTTCGTAAATGCCATATTGGGCGTGACTGTGCTGTTAATAACCGCCTGGGAAAAATTCTTTAATTGTATAAATTAAAATAAGCAAAATTAAAATAGTGTAAAACTTTTTTCCCTTGCAATTAGAGTTAATTACCTTCGAGCCATCCACAGAAATAATTCTATACAAACTTCTCGTTGAATCATAAAAAAAAGAAACTGAAACTGCTGCCGTGGATGCTGACACCCATGATCTTTTTGTCTTTGGATCAATGTGAAACACGTGCGCCTTGCACGTGAAAATCGGCTGTTCCCTAAAATACAAGTTAAATTTAATTATTCATCCAAACTAAAATAATTCCACAATTAACTGATTAATTAATATATATAAAATATTTTTCCTGCAAAAAATATTTGCGTAATAAAACAATTTTTCTAAAAACAAAAAAAATGTTTATATTTTTTTACGATAAAAATTAATAAATTATGAAATAATAAATTCCGAAGAAAAAAAATTGTAATTATAAACAAGATTCTTAATTCAAAAGTTCGTATACACGAATTAACACACACACTTGTCAATAATGAAAAGCAAAGAGGGGAGAAAAAATAAGCACAATTGATGTTTATGCATCGATTTAAATGTGCAAGTATGTTCCCCTGACACAAAGAAAATGCTCCGTAAATGAATAATTATCTCCATTCGGAGTTTATCCATGTGCATCAGTGCCGGTTTTTTGTTTCAACACTCGATTAAAATGACTAACAATAATTACGAAAGATCACTCTCTGATTTACAAATAAAGAGAATATGTGTGAAAAGAAAATAATTACAATTGACTGCTTTACTTTTATACTGTATGTAGAAAAAAAACATGAAAAAAGTAAGTGCAGTTTTTCAGATCGCTGCTCTCCAATCGACTTGTGTGTCTTAAAATAAACTTTGTTAAACCCGATCGCAAAATTGATCCAACAATAGAAAAAAAAAACACTATCGATATATTTTATGCCAATGGGGCGGAAATTATAATTTACTTATTGAGAAAATATTTTACACGCCTAGTTATCCACCCTCAAAAAAAAAGTAGGCGAAATATCAATTCGTATAATTGCTTACCCCATGGTTTCCTTTCCGGATGTCATAAAAGTAGTACTTAATAACGTGGTATAAACAGGAAATCATAGAATTTTCAAGCAAACTCTAATATTTTCTTTCAAGGCCCCACTCAACTGAAATTATTGATAATTGCAAAAATCACAAGAAACACCAAAACTGTTTCATCTGAAAGCACTTTCCACGATTTGACAGCCGCCATTCGTAGCCAAGCCGACATATAAAAACTGTTGTGATTTATAATGCAAGAAGTAGATTTTATTCGACTTTTCGAAACAGATACGATTCACGGAAATAATTAAAAACTTCTCAATTAATTGAATTTGAAATAAACTGTACAGTTTTAAAAGCGAATATATGACACTTTTCTCTTGGAGGATGATCCCCACATCACAATTGCTCCAAAGGGAGTGGATTCATATCGTGCGCTTAATCCACGCGCACCAAACTCCTTCCATCTTTTTCTCTTTTAACTTCTTTAAAACACTGTGTTTTCACACGCGTGACAATTATTAGAAATTAATAAACTTTATTTACTTCACTTTAGTGTAATTCTTCTCTACACTTTTATCTGTAAATAATCAATTATTTTTTCCACTTGTTTGGAACTGTTTTTTCTTTGACATTTATTTTGACGTTTGTTTTTTTAGGTTATGTTTCTGGCATAATTTGTTAAATATTTTAGGTTATATTTATATATTTTGCTAAACAATTCCTTTTAATCTTGAAATATTACCTTTTTCAAAAAATTAATGCAAGGAATAATTTTTATTTAATGGATTTTTGACATTCGTTTTTAATAACTGTCACGCTCTAGCTGTCATGTCCTTCGTATGTTAATTTGGTTGATTTATTCGATTTATTTCTTTTCGGAATTTGTAACTATTTTCTATATATTTTAAATACTTTAATGATCTAATTTTCACACAAACTTAATTTAGTTTAACAATCGGTCTTACTTTGTAAATAATATAAAATTATTAGACCAGTTTTTAAATTTGATTTTTATTTACTAACAAGTTCACGGTTGGGAAGGTAAGTTTACAAAGTGCGCTAGGGACAAGGATCTGTAGATAAGGCAGGGATTTTTGCTCCAGTTTCTATTTTTTTTAAAAAGGAGATCTTCGAATGTATTTTAAATAAAAAAAATTGATCTTTTCTGATAAATTCGAATTATTATTAAATTATTCTTCAATTATTATTGAATATTGTATTCGAAAATCAAAATGTTACGTATTACCTACAGGGAATCAAGACTCTCACTTTCCAAACCCTGGTGTAAGTAGTAATTTTTATTCTCAAGTTGGCGCAAGCAGGATTTAGCTAGGGAAAATTTATCAAGTTTGCCAAACTGTAACAAAGGACAAGTTCAAGCGATTGTTTTTTCTTTCTGGTTGAAGACATGGCCGACGCGTAAGTAGTTCTCAAAATTTCATTTAAAATCTATCAACATCGCGTGTTTTTGCTAAACAATTTGTTCCGATCAACTCCTTAATTTATTCATCAAAATGTTCTTTATTTATTGTGCTACATATTTTTTACAAGTTTTTTGTAAATTATCAACATTATCAGTAATGTCATTGCCAGTGAACATAACCTAAAAAGTGCATGTGTTACATTTTGTACAATAATTAACAAATTTGCAATGTGTAAGTTATTCGAACAATGATTAAGTGAGCCTGAATTGTTAATTTTTCATAATTTGTAAAAAAAGTGATTAATTTGTTAATGAAAATTTAGAGTCGTTTGTTTCGTCTCGCACTTGTCAATAATCTCTTCTGATAATGATTTCATTACTTGAAAAGCATCTTATTTTCCGTTTTGTTCATTAGCTTATTGATTATTGATAATTGATAATAGAAATAAAACAGTGGTTTTTAAAATAATTTTTGTTTACAGTAAAAAAGAAACCGTGGCTAAAAAGCTGCCCGCAGTACCAGAATCGGTACTGAAGAGAAGAAAGCGGCGCGATACCGCTAAAGCTGTTCGCTTGCAGACATCTATCAAGGTAAATTTAATTTTTTTCTTCAAAAATACAGTTTTATCGCAAATTTCTTTTTTTGCTAATCAGAATTTAATTTATAACTTTAGAAGCGTCAAGAGCATTACAAGAAACGGAAGGAGATCTTCAAGCGCGCTGAACAATATGTAAAGGAGTACCGAATGAAAGAACGAGATGAAATCAGGCTCAAGAGACAAGCCAAGAATCGTGGAAATTATTACATTCCTGGCGAGGCTCGTTTGGCTTTTGTTATGCGTATTCGGGGGTAAGTTTCTTATCAAATTTGCTTCTAAACTGATTTATACTTTAACTTACGAATTAAAAAAAAAAATTGAAATGCTTGTTTAACAATAATTTTCATTTAAAATTCTAGTGTGAATCAAGTTGCACCGAAAGTACGTAAAGTTCTGAAGCTTTTCCGTCTACTTCAGATCAATAATGGAGTCTTTGTTAAATTGAACAAAGCAACAATCAACATGCTTAGACTTGTCGATCCCTACATCACTTGGGGATATCCAAATCTTAAATCTGTCAGAGAATTGATTTACAAGAGAGGTTTCGCTAAAATCAATCGTCAAAGAATACCAATTACTTCGAATTCCATCATTGAAAGTCAATTGGGTGAGTTTCTTTAATTTTATTTATTAAATATTAACAACTAAGCGATAACTCCATGGCAATCGTCTATTTATTTAAGCGATTTCCTTCCATATTATCGAAAATTAACTGGATTTTGGAAAAACACCCTATTTGTTTCTTAGTAATTGGGTTAGACACGATTCATACATTTTTACACATTTTTTTTAATTACTTAAATAAGTTAATGCTTATTTAGTGCTTTTAATTATTTTAACTTTTAGTTAATACTTATTTAGTAAATAAATACTAAAATTTATTTTAATACTTTAATATTTATTCAAATTTGATTTGAATTTTAGTTTTATTAGAAAATTGAGAAAAATGTTCTTGTTTTCAGGACGATCAAACATCATCTGTACAGAAGATTTGATCCACGAAATTTTCACTGTCGGTCCTAAATTCAAGTACTGCAGCAACTTTTTGTGGCCATTCAAGGTAAGGAATTTTTCAAGAGATATAATTCATAACTTTTTTTCTTTTCTTTTAAATTTTAATTACCAACATAGGCATTGTGATTGATACTTAATTGTCTATCACTTCCTATTATGTTGGAGAGCAATACGAGATATTCCCTTTTTTCTTTACGCTTCTCTTTCGTAAAGTTCCGAATTTCTCGCACATTTGATTTATGTAAAATGAATTTTCAATTCACTGAAATAAATATTTTATTTATATATTAAATAGAATTAAATTAAATTAAATTTAAAGATTTGGCTGATATAAGTTAGTTTTTCTTTATTATAAAGTTCAATTTTTTTTGGTTTAGATATTTTTATATTAGTAAATATTTAAAAATAGAGATTATTAGAATTATTGGTATTGTTAATGACAATATAATTATAATAAAATTGATAATTTTCTTGCAAATTGTGATTATTTATTTTTGTTTTACAGCTCAACACACCAAATGGAGGTTGGAGAAAGAAGACCAACCACTATGTTGAGGGTGGTGACTTCGGAAACAGGGAAGACAAAATTAATGAACTATTGAGGAGAATGGTTTAAATTATGTTTAATGAAAATAAAGACGGAATTTACAAAATAATACTGCCTTTTGTTTCAAGTTTACCAGATTATATATTTTTTATTTTCAAATTTAAATTTTTGAATAATTTCATAATTAAAATTTAAAAATTCACTTATTAAGTACATAATTAATTATTATTGTTTATATTTTCAATAATTTTAATTTAATTCTTCGCAAGAATTCAATTAATTTTAATACAATTTTAATAAAATTTCAAAAAAGGATTCAATTTTGAAAAAAACAGAAATTCTTCAAAAGTATTTAATTATTTATAAATACTCTAATAAAATTGTTTAAAAGAGATTAATTTTCTATCAATAATTTTAATAAAGTTTTTATGGTAAAATTATTAATTACAATTGCAATATTAAATCAATTTTATGAAAGGATTCAATTATTGTCAAAACCTTTAATAGTATCTATTCTTTAACAGAAATTAATTACTTTCTATGTTTTAATAAAATTCCCTGAATAAATTAAATTATTTTAGAAAAGTGTAATAAAATTTTAAGAAGAATTCAATTATTTCCAAAAATTTTAAGAAAATTCAATAAGTAAGTGTTTAATTTCAATTATTAAAAAACGATTATTTTAAAAACTTGAAAGAAATTCTTTATAAAATTCAATTACTTTCAAAATGTTCAATTAAAATTATTAAAAAATTAGATTATTTAAAAAAAAATTAAAAGAAATTCTTCAAAAAAATTTAATTACGATTTTTAAAAATTTTAATAAAATTCTTCGCAAGAATTCAATTATTTTCATACATAGTAAAATTACTTGAAGGAATTAAATTGTTTTCATTAATAATAAAATTCTTCGGTGGAATTCAATTATTTTTAATTCAATTTTAGTAAAATTTCTCGAAACAATAACTAACTTCAAATTGCGAACAGATTACCGGAATACAACGATTTTTAATATAGAATATTATATTATATTAAAAAATTATCAAATTAAAAAAAATTTTGTGAAATTGAATTGAAAATAATTAACTTTGTTGAGAGATTTTTATCAATTTAATTAGAGATTTTAAAAAAATTGAATTTTCAAGAAATTTTAATTTAATAAGTGGTAAATAATTGAATTTTACAGAGTTTTAAAGGGTTAAAATTGCATCTAAAATAATTTAATTTTGAAAGAATTGCAATTAAAATTTTTATTATATATTATAACTAGGTAGTTATAAAAAAGATATAAATTATAAAATTCTCCAAATGCAATTTCGAAAGATTTTATTTAAAATTCTAAAAAATCGATTTTTATAATATTTCAATTTTATTTCTTAAAGATTATTAAAATTTTTATGAACAAGTAATTGAAAATCAATTAATTTTACTGAAATTGTTGATTCTTAGTAGACATTTTATATTTTTGCTTTTAAAAACTAACTTTTTTTTATAATTGAACTCCACTTGAAATTTTTTTTATTTGGATCAGGAAAAATTTAAATTTCTCTCTGGAAATCGGAAAAACGAAATCAAATTTTCCTATCAATCCAGGTCCTTTGTTAAGATCGGAAATAAATAATTTATATAAATAAAAATTTCCTTTCATGCTTCAAAATAGAAATTCTTTTATAAATTATTAAAATAATATAACAAATTTTGTTTTGTCAATTTTATAAAATTTATTTTTAAAATATCAGTCTTTAATAATTGTTTCTAATTACAAACCTTGTCGACAAACTGATTGAAAAACGATATCGGCTATTGAAATTTCATTGCCTGAGAAATAAGGTCCAACTTGAAAATTACGTAAACTATTAAATTTATTTCGACTATTAGAATTAAATGAAATTTCATGAATTCTATCCAGAATATTGTCAATTTTATTCGCGTAATTAACACCCTTACTTTCGTACCTTAATAAATTTGGTTTTCTCCTCTCGATTAAACGATTAAAAAATCTTGCAATATTAATTTCACCCACAATTTCCTGATGCGAACCAGTGATATTCATTCGCGGATTAACACCCACATTTCGCCAAATAACAATAATCGTGAGATCATTTTCTTTTTTGTCAATAAATTCCGAACAAAATTTCACAAGTGAAGGAGCAATTTTCTCTACCGACGAATGTAAATGTACATTTACAGAAATTTTAAATATTTTCTTTAAAATCGATAATATTGTTTCTAAAGAATACGGTGGATATTTTGGATCGCAGAAAATAACCATTTTTTTCCAATTGTCCTGAATTTTTTCCTGAGTGGAACACGTGAATAATTCCTCGCTTTCTTTTTCATTCTTTCGCACCGATCGGGAAGTGTTTCTGTCAAGATGAAATATTTTTTTGAGTAAAAATCAGGCAAAAAGAAACATTGCAAATAAGTTAAAGAAGAGGAATTTTATTTCTTTTTAAGAAGAAAAAAACATGAATAGAAATCAAAATATTTTAAATATTTTATTTTTATAAAATTATATTAAATCTTAATTTTAACGAATAATCAACATAATGAAGAAAAACATTTTTTTAAATACTTATTTACTTTTCCAATCGGCAGAAAGGATTGTCGTGAACCATTTGCAGATCGACTTTTGGTCCCACTAAATCTCTAATGTTATTTAGACCGTATTTGATCATTGTGGGCCTGGAAAATAGAAATTTACTCAAAAAGGATACAAAACAAAATTTAAATTTTAAAAATTTTGAAAAGAAAATTTGTAAATTACCTCTCCAGTGATAATCCCCAGGCAATGACGTTGACATTTTCTGGAACTCCCATTGGAAGTAACATTTCAGGCCTAAACATTCCACTGTTTCCAATTTCAATCCATTTTCCAAGACCATTGTGATAACAGAATATTTCCATACTTGGCTCCGTGTATGGATTATAAGCCGGTTTGAATTCAAGTTGAGTGATACCGAGTTTTCGGAAGAATTCGTAAATAACGCCAATTAAATCGCCCAACGAAAGATTGTAATCAGCGACGACACCCTCGATTTGATGAAATTCCGCCAAATGAGTCGCGTCTAATGTTTCATTACGAAAAACACGATCAATACTAAAATATTTGACGGGTTTAAATTCACCGTTTGACATTAATTTATGTAACATTCGTGCACTAACGGCTGTCGTGTGAGTTCGAAGAAGATTTTTTTGCGCCTCCTCTATTTTCCAATCGTATCTGTAGCCCTGCGATCCATAGCCACCAACACTGTGAACTTTCTTCACTTTCTGCAGATAATCCTCCGGAAAGTTTGTACTCAATTTCGGATCTAAAATCATTTTCATAATTTAATAAATATTTCACTAATTAAAATTATTTTAATAAATTATTAAATTAAATATTTTACTATTATTATTTAAATATTTTTAAATATTAAATATTTTATACTTTCAATACATATTTCATATTACTGGATAAGCATTTTACTGCGAGGATTGTAAATAGAAGAAAAAATATTCTGTTACATATTTTTACTGGAGAAAATAAAATTTTTTATTACCGGATATAAAGAAAGTGTCATGAGCGTCTCTGGCCGGATGTTGTTGTGGTTGAAATAGAGCGTCGAAATTCCAGAAAGAACTTTCGACATAATTGTTCGTTGGCATCTCCGTAAATCTGAAAGTATTTGTTTCAAAAGAACAATTAATAACGCCAGATGATTAAATTTGGGGTAAAAATTACAAATTTTGTTAATATCTACAAACCCCATTTCGAGAAATATTTTTCTAAATTCACTGCGCACTTTTAACAATGGATGAAGATGACCGATATCTAAAGCTGAACCCAAAGCATCAAAATTGTAGGGCTTAAAGCTCTTTTCCTTCCAAGCATCGTTGAGCAATAAATCAGCAGTTACATCAGCTTCTTGTTTTACAATTTTCGTCATAAAGGACTCGCCTTTAGTCAATATTACACTTTTTATCACTCTGTAAAGAAAAGAATGTTAATCGAATTCAAAATTAAATCTTAAAATAATTTCATCTAATTTTTTATGACTCGTTTTTCTTTCGTTTCGATTCGTTCAAAGAAAATCTATTCTACATTAATAATCGTTGTATTCCGGTAATCTGTTCGCAGTTTAAAGTTAGTTGCTGTTTGCTTTTTTGTTTAATAACTTTTTAAATATTTAAAATTTTAAAATCAATGTACTGAAAATCATTGAATTCTTATAAAGTATTTATCAAAAAATTTGAAAATAATTGAATTTTATGAAGAATTAAATTATTTTCAATAATTGTGATAAACTTCTTTAGTCATTTTATAAATATTAAAAATCTTCGTAAAAAATCCTGATAAGAATTTTTTAAATAATAAAATTCTTATCAGGATTCCAGTTATTTTCAATTCCATTTTTAAATAAGATGTTCGAAAATTTCAATTATTTTTAAAAATCTTGTAAAAATTATCAGAGAAATTCAATTATTTAAAAAAATAATTGAATTTTTCAAAGAAGTTCAATAAATTAAAAAACTTCTAATAAAATCCAATTCAAGAATTCAATTACTTTTAGAAATAATGAAATTTTCGCTGTAATTTAATTATTTTAAATACAATTTTAATTAAATTACAGGGAAAATTCAATTATTTTTAAACATTTTTTTAATATTCTTTGAAAGAATTCAATAATATCAATAAATAAATTTTTCACAGGAATTCAATTTTTGCAAATACAATTTTAATAAAATTCTTCTCAAAAATTCAATTATTTTTTTTTTTAATTTTTCAAAAATTCAATTCTTTGTTGAAATAATAAATTTTCACGCAAGGATTCAATTATTTAAAAAAGTTTTAATAAAATTCTTTACAAGAATCCAATTATTTTCAGAAATAATTAAATAGTCGATTTACTGAAAATCATTGAATTCTTGTAACGTATTTTTATAAAAAAATTTGAAAATAATTGAATTTATTTCAAGAATTTTATCAACATTATTTTCAATAATTGGATTCTTTCGAGAAAATGTAATTAAAATTGCATTGAAAATAATTTAACTCTTGGCAAGAATTTCTATTAAGTTTTTACAATAATCGTCTTTATTGTTAATTGTAACTAATAATTTTCCTATTAAATTATATTAAAATTATTCATAGAAAATTAAATTCGTTTTAAACAATTTTATTAGAGATTTTGTAAAAAATTACATTTTTTTAAATTTAATTAAATTTGGTAAAAATAATGTAATTATTTAAAGCAATTTATTAATTGAAAATTTTGAAAATAATTTTTATTTACAAAGAATTTTATTAAAAACTTTTGAGAATAACAGAATTATTTAGAAAAATTTTTTAATAATTTTTAAAAATAATTGAACCTGTTAGAGAAATTTTATTAAAATTATCTTAAATATCATTAAATTTTTTCCTATAGAAATTTTATTAAAATTGTATCTGAAAATAATTTAATTTCTCAGAAGAATTTTATTATTTACAAAAATAATTGAATTCTTGCCAAAAATTTTACAATTTATAAAAATAATTGAATTGTTTCGAAAAATTTTTTATCAGAATTGTTGAAAATAAATAAATAAATTTTCTATTAAAACTTTTGAAAATAATTAAATTTAAATAATATTTTTAAAAATAATTTTATTCTTTCGAAAATTTTTATTAAAATTGTATTGAAAATAATTGAATTCCTCCCAAACATTTTATTATTTCCTAATTGAATTCCTTTGTAAAATTTTATTATTTATGAAAATATTTTAATTCTTGCGAAGAATTTTCTCATTTATGAAAATAATTGAATTACTGCGGAGGATTTTGCAATTCATAAAAATAATTAAATTGTTTCGAAGAACTTTATCTGAATTTTTGAAAATAATTGAATTTTTTAAAGGAATTTTATTAAAAAATTTTAAAATAATGTTTTTTCAAAAAGAATTCCATCAAAATTGTTGAAAATAATTGAATTTATATTAAAATTGTTGAAAATAATCGAATTTAATTAATGTTTTTAAAAATAATTGTATTCTTTCGAGAAATTTTATTAAATTTGTATTAAAAATAATTGAATTCCGTTGAAGAATTTTATTAAAATTTTTGAATAATAATAAACAAGAATATTTAATATTATGTACTTAATAAATGAATTCTTTAAATTTTAAATCTGTAATCATTCAAAAATTGGTGTTTATTCTTGAAATGAAAAATTGTTTAATTTAAAAAATAATAAGAAATGGAATACCGCGTTCCGCGCGTATCATTTGCTAGTTGTTTTATAATTACGTTTGTTGGAGAAGTTTCCTTTTCTTGTAATCTTGTTTAACATTATCTGGTACGTCAGTGAGATTCATCAAGTGACTCTGTGCAACATCGTTAATAGACGACACTTTCTTTTTAATCAATGACTTATTATTTTTATCTATTTCAATCCATCCAGCCGCGAGAGCTTTAGAAATTCCGACTTTTGCGTAGGGGACAATTTTCATAATCTCAGGTTGAGGTGTACCATCTTCGGAAATTGCATTATACACCGCAGCCTCATGACTTCCGAATTTTAAAACGTGATGACCTTCCTCGGTAAGTTCCCATTTTTTCGTACTTATTTGCTCAACATTTATTATCTGAAAAATGGAAAATACAAAAAAATTAGAAATAATAATAAATTTTCTATTAGTTGGAGATTAATTTAATTAAACTTACGTTTCCTATCGTTTGAATACTTTTGATAGCACCAATCACCTTTTGATGATCCTCTTGAAAAATATTCGCCAAATCGAGAGAATTCACTTTATCACATTTTGATAAATGTTCTAAAATCTTTTCTGACAGTTCGTTCGTCATTATGAGCTAACGAATTTGCTTTAAAAAATTGAAATGATTATTATAAATAGTGTAAATTTGAAATAAACTATAGTTAATTTATTAAAGTTTAACTATATAAAATTAATTAAATTAATTTAAATATATAATTTATGCGTTAAAAAACAAAACATATTTCTAATTATAAACAATGTGATTCTAACCTATAAATGTGTCAAGTTTCCTTATTAAAACACTAATTAAAATAATAATGAATAGTAAAGATGAATTTATTTAATAACGAAATAGAGTAATTTACCTATTATTTATATTTTTCTGCAAAAATGATGCAATTTACACTATTTTTGTATTTTTTTATTTCGCCAACGTTGTCAACTTATGTCGGCGTAATGTTTGTGAAGTTGGCACTACACCAGGGCTGAACATGTGATATCAAAAAAAATGAAGAGCCTCCAAAGTCTGAGATTCTTCTTCAAACCGCTAGAGGGCAAAATTCAAATCAGTATTTTTATTTTTTATTAATTACAATTAAAAAAATGTTTAAAAAAATACAAATAAACATTAAATGAAAGAGAAATATATGATTAAACAAAATGTAAAAGACAATTTACGTTGAATTATTGTTAATTAAACAAAAATAAGACTTTTAGTTTGGTTGGTAGACTTGATAAGGTTAGCAATATTATTTTGGGTTGGTACCACTGCAGATCACTATACAGGAAGACCTTCAAGGCGTTGAAAGTAATAGCGAATTCGGTTATCTGCACCGGAGCACTCTCGGAGTGCTCCAGAGCAGGAGTAGCATGTTCGGTTTGACAAATGTGCTCTAGTGCAGATCGTTTGGAGTATTCGCTTTAGCAGCACTGCTCCGGCGCAGATCGTTTCGAGTATTCGTTTTGGCAGCACTGCTCCGGCGCAGATCGTTATTTGTGTTCGAATTAAGAAGTGTGCACTCTCAAGGATCGAAAGGTGCAACAAAATTTGCTCCCACAATTTTGTTAGTGCAGTTTAAAAAAATGTCAAGAGAAGCGGCAAATTTAAAAATTTCACTTCTAACAGATTTAATTGACACCTCTAGCGATAGTAGTAAAGACGAATTATGTTTTTTATAATGAATTTTGTATTTAGAGAAAGACTAACATTCAATATTTTAATATTTAATAAAAACAGTAAGTTTAATAAATAAAAAATATGTAGTAGTAATAGTATAGTTTTAGTTTAGTAAATAATTTTCAATATTTCTAATATTTAAATAAAAATACTCATTATAAAGTAATTATTTGGTCTCAAAGAAATAACCTTTTCACTTATTTTATTATTGTTGTTGTTAGTAGTTCAAAATGTCAAATAGTGTAAACAAAATTTATATCAGAAATATTATTCGATAATTTTGTGATTAACAATTCTGCTATATCAAAACATTGACCGAATAAGATTTTAAAATTCTAATAAAAATATCAAATTTTTTGCTTTTAAAAATATTATTTATGTATACATCATAAAATATTTAATTTTAAGTAAAATAATTTTACATTTAAGAAGAAAATATATTGCATAATATAATGTATAATAATATATATAATATAATAAATATAATATTATATTACATTATATTATATAAGTTTAATTAAATTTAAACTTCGCGCCAAACGAGCAGTGTATGCTTTACACCATAGCAGTTCATGTTGTGCTCCTGCTCCAAAAACAGTCAAACTTTGCCAGTGTTCATGACGTCATAGATTGCCTCAGAGTAGAGCACAGCTTTTTGAGAGCAGAGTAAACTATACTCCTACACCGAGCAAGATCGCTCTCGGAGCAGATAACCGAATTCGCTATAACTAAAAGTTCTGTGCAGTGATATTTATTTAATCTTTATATAATTTGCAAATCTTATCATTTATTGTGAATATTTTTCAATAATAATGTTCAGTTTCATTTAAATATTAGACAATTTAATAAATTTTCAATAATAGGTGAGTAAATTTTTCCTATTTTAACAAATTTCATTTTGTAAACAATCTAACCTCAAATTGCGGAATACCGCTTATTTGTCCACAATTTGCAGACAAATTTTGTTAAAAATTAAAGATAGTTTAATAAAATTTCTAATATTTATGTATTCTTTTAATGATTATTATACTATTGAAACGATTAATCCAAGGGTTAGTTATTTAATTGTAAAGAAAATTCCTACTTTATTCTGATAGAAAAGTTGAAAATTTTGACATTTTGTTGATTTCAGCAGTAAAAGTGCTTTCCCCTAGGAATTATTTGATATTTTGAACAGAAAATAATGTTTTTCTGCATTTTTAAAAGCGTAATTAGAATAAACATTCATAGCAGCGAGAGTTTTCCGAAGTTGATTGAAATTAATTTGACTGCAAAATTCGGAATCTTGCGAAGTTCAATGGAACATTCTTTCAATTCAATCGACTTTCAAGGAATTTTCGCTGCTGTGTGTGAAAGGTAAACAATACCTGATTTTCTATTTTATTTTTTATTAATAAGTCATTAATATAATTTTTCTTTACAGGATTAAAGGGCGAAATAGGAAATAATGTGAAAGATCGATAAATACGATACAATCAGTAAGAATAATTGTCTCCATCCAGGGAATCTTCGGTCTGTAAGTCTTTTCGTAAGTCTTTTTTAATACCTAACCTATAATTTATCTTAAACTATTTTCAAATTGTTGATATTAAATTATGTCTTTATTTTTTTTTATAACAAAACGTTACAATTTCTTCTGTGAGATTTTGAAAAATATGCGAATTATCTCATATAAAAAATACCAAATTATTCCCTTCCCCCTTGCCCAAAAGTAAAAAATACTTGAAAGCAACAAAAATAAACGAAACCTGGTTGAATAAATTTAATTTTTTCATATAAATTATTCTCAATGAGGTTCGTAACTAGAATTATTATTTATTTCGTCTGACATAAGCAGTATTTCGGTAAAAAATAACAATTTAAGAACATTTTCCGATGAATTATTTAAATTTTAATAACAATTTTTTCTTATTTTGGAAACATGAGAATTTTTTCTTCTTAATTGACAAACTCTTTAAACATTGGTTAAAATATTAATATTTAATAAAAATAAACTAAAAAATTAATAAATTTAATATGATTATTTAAATATAATAAAATAACTAAAACTCTACATTTTTATTAACAATTTTTTGTTATTTTTGAGAATTTTTTCTTTCTTAATTGATTAACATTTAAAACATTAGTTAAAATATTGATATTTAATAATCAATAAAATAAAAGTAAACTAAAAATAAAATCTTAATAAAACTATTAATATTCATTGTTTAAATTTATTAACAATTTTATTCTTATTTTGAAAAATTGAGAATTTTTCTTATTTACTATTAATTATTAATAGTTAATATTAATTATTAATATTGATTATTTAAATAATTTAATATTTAAATAAATAATTAATAATTCAAAAAATCAATAAAATAATAATTAAGTAATTTAAATATTAACTATTAATATTGGTATTTAGTAAAAATAAAATATAAATAAAATAAAAAAATAATAAAACTCTTAAATAATATTGATTATTTACATTTATTAACAATTAATTCTTATTTCGAGAACATGAGAGTTTAATACTTAAATGAATAAATAATTAGTAATTAAAAGTATTCAAAAAGTTAATAAAATAATAATTAAATAATTTAAATATTAACTATATTGATATTGATTATTTAAATTTATTTACAATTTTTCCTTCTCAATTGACAACATAAAAATATTGTTTAAAATATTGGTATATATAATAAAAAATACAAAATAAAAATAATATAAAAATTCAATATTTCTTTGAAGGAAATATTTATTTAAAAAATTATAAAAAACTGTAATTGTTGAAATTTACTATTGTTATGTTAATAACAAAATAAATAGAAGAACAACAATAAATTGTTGACTGTGAAAATAATGTTAAACTAAATTTATTGTTTACATTCAGAAGTAGTAATTTTTGCAATAGAAAAAAAATATTCTACTTATGTTATGTCCTTAGACGCAAAAACGTTTTTTCCATTAACAATTGATCCATGTAGTTCTCTACAAAAAATTCATATTCTTCGCACAATTTTTCGAATTGAAAGAATTACTGAATATTTAATATTTTTAAATTAAAATAAACTCAATTAAAGGAATCAGGTAATTAAATTTTTTATTTAATGACAATTTATTATTTAAATAAAAAATATCCTTTAAAAAAAGTATCGAATTTCCATATGAAAAGATTGATTATTATTTTAAGAATTTATAATTATAAATATACTTTTTTTATTTATTAAAATTGTTTAAATTTCATTAATTAAAATAATAAAATAATAAAAATTCATTTCGGTTAATTTATTTAAATTTAAAGAAATTAATTTTTTCAGAGTTTGGCAGTTGAAAAGTAAAATTCATAAAATTGCAATTGATCAATAGAATTAAAAATTAAAATAAAAAATTATTCTATTAAAATTCGATAATTCCAAGAATAATGTTTCTTTGGAATATATTAATTTTTACAAAAATTTTATTATCAAGCTCTAATGGTTGGGATACAAATATTTCACTAGCAAATTGGAATGAAGGCGTAAAAAATTATTTAGCAACAAATTCAGAATATCAACAATTTATAATTCTCGAGAATAGAAATATTTCCGATAATCTTATTGTTAGGGATATTTTTCAAAATTTCAAAAATCATCCTTACTTAATTGCAACACTAGACGATTTTTTGACAAATAGCATTGAAAATCCAAATTTAAACGTGAATCCAAGAAAAACGACTGTTTCTGTATTGATATTTTCTTCACTTCAACCGACTTTGGAAGTATCAATGAAATTTATTGACGAATTATCGAATAAGGAAACAAAGCCAAAATGTCTACTGTTTCATCTAGAATTCCATCAATCCAGAGTGATGAGGGAATTTTTTTATAAACATCTTCTGGAGCAGTACTGGGCAAATAATTTTCTAGACGTAACAATTGTTGAAATGAAAAAGAAATTTTTGGATAATTTTATGGGAACTGAGGAAACTTTTGCTGTTTTGCATCAATTAAATCCGTTTAGTAAAAAGTATACGAGGGAAGAATTGTCGAAGAGTTCAGAATTATTTCCGGATAAGACACACAATTTATTTGGATATTCAGTGCAGTATCTTGGAGTAAGTCACTACAGTGTTAATTGGAGTATTCCTGATTCTGAAGTGGAACGATTCGGTGGCGATATGGCGATGCATAAAGTAATTGCTGAAAAAATGAATTTCTTTAGAAATATAACGAAAACGATTATTAAAAAAATGGGACCCGAAGGTTGTTACAAGGAGAATTATACAGGTTTACTGCGTGGCTTAGTTGAAAATGAATATCGAGTTTTTATTAATTTGAATATTGTTCTATTTTGCAAGAGAACACAATTTTTGAGCAGTCGAATAATATCACTTGAATCGAGTTACGTTGTTGTGCCGAAAATTGTTAAGGATCAAATGGGTAATTTTAATTTGATCGAAGCTTGTTATGAGATATTACTTTTGTTATCTTGCTTTAGTTTTGCTTGGATTTTTTCGAATGTGTGGAAATTTGATAATAGACTACTGGATATTGTTGAATGGTTCACGATAATTCTTGCCATTCCTTCGGGATTTAGAATCGAAAATTTGAGAGAGAGATTATTTTTCAGTACTCTATTGATAGCGGGTATTATGTCATCGTGTTATTTTTATACGATTTTGTCGAGTATTAATTTTCAGATTAATTCGGAAGAATTTCGTACATTGGAAGACGTTGATAATTCTGGTTTGCCTATTTGGATGAATAAAAATTGGTATGTTACACTAATTAATGATGATGAGGTTTTTAAATTTAGTGATTTTGAAAATAAGGTTCATACATTTGATCCGGCTCGATTTCATACTGTCGATTGTTTACGTTCGTTGATAAAATTCAAGAATGTTAGTTGTGGTTTGGGATTACGTTCGGTTCAGAGTATGTTGAGGGTTTATTTTAAGGAATTCGATGAAATTCGATTGAAAGTTATTCCATATCCTTTGATACCAAGTGTTATGGGTTGGTTGTATGAACCTGGTTTTCCATTTGCGGAGAATTATAATCGAATTATGCAGCGACTGATAGAAAATGGTCTTTTGGACAAGTGGGCACTGAGAATGAAATTTGATGAGAATTTATTGACAAATCGTTCGATTGACAATGTTCAAATTGTTAAGTTGCAACAGTTACTTTATTGTATTTTGGTGTTTGGCTTTTGTCTTTCGATTTTAGTTTTTCTTGTTGAGGTATTAGCCTGCGGCCTAATAAAAAATTAACTACTTTAAAATAAGGTTTGAAATTTTGTAAATTTGAAAATAGAGAATATTTTATAATTCGAATAAAATTTGTTTACTGTAATTAAAAAAAAATTTAAATTTAGAGAGTAATTCTGTGGAAGAAAATGCATAACTGCATTTGTCATGATTTCGAGATAAATTAATTTTAATGTTCTCTCAATTCTGTCAAATCGGAAAATCAACAGATGTGTTTGGTCTTTTGCATTTAGTATTACTGTTTGATGTATTTTCAAAATTCGTTTATTATATTTAATAAAACTCAGTATTTGATGTGAATTTTGATAAATCATTTGAATCATGAGTTTTAATGCAGTTATTAGAATTAATACAGTTTTTTTTTTATAAAATGTTTTCAATTTATTGAAACGAGCAAAAAGAATTTACTTTACTTTTCAATTTGAAACGAATTTAGAAATCAAATAGAAAGAAGTCTGTCTGATTAAAAATGCCTTTCTACTTCTAATTTACAATTTATAAGAATTAAGGAAACTTCTTGTAAATGGAAACTTATTTTAAGCCATTGAATTAAAATTTTATGACTGACTAAATAATGATCTTTACTACTGAAACAGTAAAATAACAAACTATTGATTGTTCGATTAGTTTGTTAATTTTTAATAAATATTTCCTTAATTAAACAGATTTATTAATTATTATTCTGCATTTTTGGTGTCCTTTTTGTTTATCTCATAAATTGCAAAACTTCAATTATTTAAAAAGTTTTTCGCAATTTAATGATTTTCAATATTTACTATTTTCATAAAATTTATCAAATAATTTAATTATTGAAAAAAAATTTTGATACAATTCTAGGAAAACATTGAATTATTTTCATAAATAATAAAATTTCATTTAGGAATTCAATTATTTTCATCGCAGAATTTCAAATATTTTTAATAAATTCCTTAAAAAATGCAATTATTCTTAAAAATTCTATTCAAACTTTACGAAAGAAATCAATTTTAAGGAACATTCAATTATTCAATAAAATAATAAAATTCGTTGCAATAATTCAATTATTTCTACAAATAACTTTTAATTAGTCGCAGGCAATCAATTATTTTTAAAATTTCTTAAGTATTTCAGCAAAATAATTCCATTATCTTGATAAACAACAAAATTCTCCCTATAAAATCAATTATTTTAAGGAATTTTAATAAAATTATTTTGATAAATATCAAAATTCACCACAAGTATTCAATTCTTTTGAAAAGTAATAAAATACTTTGCAGAAATTAAATTATTATTAAAATTTTTTAAAAATTCTCGTA